CCTTCCAGTGAGCACTCAGGGCTGATTTCCTTCAGAATGGATGGGTTTGATCTTCTTGCAGTCCATGGGACTCTCCAGAGTCTCCTCCAGCACCAGAATTCAAAAGCATCCATTCTTCAGTGATCAGCCTTCTTGATGGTCCAGCTCTCACTTCCATACATCACTACTGGGAAAACCATAGTTTTAACTATACGGACCTTTGTTGGCAAGGTGATGTCTCTACTTTTCAAGATGTTGTCTAGGTTTGCCATCGCCTTTCTCCCAAGAAGCAGGCGTCTTTTAATTTCGTGACTGCTGTCACCATCTGCAGTGATCATGGAGCCCAAGAAAGTAAAATCTCTCACTGCCTCCATTTCTTCCCCTTCTATTTGCCAGGAGGTGATGGGCCCAGTGGCCATGATCTTCGTTTTTTGGATGTTGAGCTTCAGACCATATTTTGCGCTCTCCTCTTTCACCCTCATTAAAAGGTTCTTTAATTCCTCCTCACTTTCTGCCATCAAGGTTGTCATCTGCATATCTGAGGTTGTTGATATTTCTTCCGGCAATCTTAATTCCAGCCTAGGGATTCATCCAGCCCAGCCTTTCGCATGATGAATTCTGCATATAAGTTAAATAAGCAGGGAGACAATATACAGCCTTGTCGTACTCCTTTCCTAATTTTGAAAGTCCAGCCCCCTGCAATGCAGGAATCTCTGCTCAGTTCCCCATTGCAGGCGGCCCTCCACCTTCTGCTCGGAAACCTCCAAGGAAGGAGAGGCCGCCATCTCTCCTGGGGGTGACAGGGCCCAACAGCTCTTCGCTTTTTCCAAATGCTTAGTCGGAATCTCCTTTCTGCAGGAGGTCTTGCCATCCAAGAGGAGAGGCCATGGTGGGAAGGAGAGGCAGGGTGGCCTAATGGTTAGAGGAGAGCAATCGGGAGACCCTCTCTCAACAGCCCCCTCTGCTCAAGCTCCAATTCCCCAAGTCCCCTGGCAAGGAGGCTGGGTTGTTAAACCACTCTAGGAATTGTGGGAGGGGGCGCTTTCCTGTCCACTCACCGCATCCTGAACAAACTCCGGTTCCCAGGATTCTTGGGAGGAAGCCTTGAAAGGGCTCTGGTCCTGCTTGGCAGATGCGCGACGGGGTCCGGGTCTTCTTATTGGCCTTTATAATAATAATAAACTATTATTTATACCCAGCCCACCTGGCCGGATTTCCCCAGCCACTCTGGGCGGCTTCCAACAAAAGATTAATAATACATTTAAAAAGTTTGATTAAAAAAAATATGAGGAGGAGAATCACGTATTCCACTTTGAGATCCTTGGACATAAAAGTGGTCTGTACGTGTAATAAATAAATCCCAGGGTGCAAGTGGGGTGAAAGAGGCAGCCCCCTCCGAGGGCTGAGAGTAAGGGGGAGACCCTCTCTCCACAGCCCCCTCGGCTCAAGCTACGGTTCCCCAAGGCCCCTGGCAAGGAGTCCCCTGTTCAGCCACTCTAGGAATTGCGGGAGAGGGCGCTTTCCTGTCCACTCACCGCATCCTGAACAAACTCCGGTTCCCAGGATTCTTGGGAGGAAGCCGTAGCTCTTGCAAGGGCTCTGGTCCTGCTGGGCAGGTGCACCACGGGGTCCGGGGTCTTCTTATGGGCTTTATAATAATAATAATTTATACCCAGCCCACCTGGCCGGGTTTCCCCAGCCACTTTGGGGGGCTTCCAACAAAAGATTAAAAATACATTAAAACATTAGTGGGTAAAAACTTCCCTAAACAAGGTTGCCTTTAGAAACAAGGATCTTAGGAATAATAGGCCCAAATAAATAGGCTGCCTTCTTCTTTCATTTGTGCATCACAAAATGGGCAGAGATGTCCGCAGCATGTGGTCAGTACAGTTTGTGGGTTCTTGGTTCGTGAATGGATTTAAACCAAACCAGGAACAAAGAGGAAGGAGGCCAGAAGTGAGTGAGAGCAGTCCCTGTGACCCCCCAAGCGCCAGGTCAGGAGCGCCTCTGGCTGGGCGGAGATGCAGCCTCCTCGAGAGTCATTTTCCTCCTCTGCCATCGGAAGTCTCTGGGTGAAGGCGGGAGGAGCCAGTGATTGACAGCCCAGCCAGGCCGGAGTGGGGGTGCAGTTCCCCCGAAAGGCCACCAGGGGGCCGGAGCCTCTCTCTCTGATTGGCTGCCCAGTCAAAGGGGGCGGAGCCAGCACTTTGGGCGGGAAAAGAAAAGGAGCCGTTTCTGAGGGAGTTTTGAGTCAGGGACAGAGAAGGGAAAGAGCAATTATTGATCATTATGTTGATTATTTATCATTTCTACCCCTCCCATCCGGCTGGGCTCCCCCAGCCACTCTGGGCAGCTTCCAGCTCATATAAAGCCATAGTAAAATGTCGAGCCTGAAAAGCGAAGCTTCCCCAACGAGGGCCTTCAAGTGAGACAGGGCTCCTTGGGAGAGAGAGAAGCAGAAAGAGGGATTTGGACCCAGGACTGGACTGAGGGAGAAGTGGCTCTGGATGGAGCCTCCATCCTCTCTGAGGAGAAGCTGGTCTCTGGCCAGAGGAAGAGCCGGTGGAGCCTCTGGGGAAGGAAGGCAGGCAGACAGACAGACAGACGGATGGATGGACAGGCGGCACATGGGGGGCTGAGTCTGGGGCAGGAGAGGAGAAGCCGGGGGAAGAGCCTCTGAACCAGAGCTGCCCACTTTCAGATTGGAAAAGAAGGGATCCGCAGCCTCGAAAAGAAGGGGTCTGCAGCCTCCCCTGTCCTGGGGACAGTCGACGGGATATCTAACCATCCGGGATAGCGGCGGAAAGCGGCGCTGGAATAAGGGATTTTCCCTCCAAAAAAGGGGAGGTTGACAGCTATGGTCTGACCGGGGTCTCCTTCCCGTCAGGAGGGGAGAAGGGGACCCCGAGGTCGGTGATCTTATTTGGAAAGACCTGAGAGTGTCGGGTCAAGGACGAAAAGCTCCCTTCTCTGGAGGCAAAGAATGAGGCGGCGCCCAAAGCTTTTCACTGCAACGCCTGCCATTACTAGGGAAAGGAGCAGCAACGCCGGGAAGCATTTGGCCCCCTCTTTGGCCCCCTCAACATCTCCCTCAAGTGGAAGAACCAATTTCGAGAGACGCTGTGCCTGTACTACTGTGTTTAGGCCTGTGACATCTTTCCGTTTAGTTGAATAATAACTTAACTTCACCTGAAAGAATGCCTCTCCTGACCCAACCTTCTTTCACCAACATTTTGTGTTAAAAAAAAAGCTTTTCTGGTTTGACCAACTCCTGCCTCAGACTGCAAATCACTAGGTTTTCCCTCACGCAAGACGCCCCCCCCTTCAGCATCCTGTGGCAAAGGGTAGAAATTTGGTGGGGCCACGATAATGAGCGAGTCTGCGACATATGAGTTGGTGCTTAGCGGTGGGCTCTGCTCCAGAGGCTCCTCAGAGATTGGGGTCCCAGTGAACCCCTCATGTCAGCACCTTGAACGGAGCCCCATTGTTGTGGGGACTCAGTGAGGAGGGGTAGAAATGCCATTAATAAAAGGGAGCCCAGCCAATCACCTGGGAGCTGCCAGATGGGTCTGGCATGACGTGTTTTCGAGAAACCCCTGCTGGGTCTTAGTAATCACAGCATCCTTTTCTCAGTCCTCACAGACTGACGGTTTAATGATCTGTTCTAGGACCTTCCCTGGTTGCCTGGTATCAACCTCAAGCTCACCAGTCAGTAGTTTTTCCTGTTTTTGAAGATGGGGGACAACATTTGCCCCCCTCCAGTCTGCAGGAGCCTCTCCTGTTCTCCAAGAATCCTCAGAGCTCTAGATGAAGGCTCTGAGATTACATCCGCAAGCTCCTTCAGTCCCTTGGATGCAGCTCAGCCGGTCCTGGAGATCTGAATTCACTTGAAGAAGCCAGGTGTCCAGTTCCTCCCTCTTTTCCGATCCTGGACTGCAGCTCCCTCCTTACATCATTTCTTCTTTGATTACTAGGCTGGGCATCACTTTCCTTATGCAGCCACACTGTTTTCCTTAGATGCCTCTCACTTTTCTTTCCGGTTGGGACTGCCTGCATTTGGGCCTTCAATATTTCACCTTGAAGAAGCTCCCATTTCTTTCAGTATTTCAGAACATAGGATCTCACCCAGCATCTCCTTAAGTTTTTTTTAATTGCCCGCCTTAAAGTGAATTCCTGACTACACTCAGCTTGCGTTTCCCTCTGTCTCAGGGGAGGACATGATCACTTCCTCCCAAGTTTCCCAGTAGTTCCACTTGGTTGATCAGTTCCCATCTGTGGTTGAGGACTAGATCCAAGACAGATGATCCCCTTCTTGTTTCTTCCACCTTCTGGGTCATGAAATTGTCACTGAGGCAATTCTCCATGGTCGCTTTCCTTAGACCAGGGCTAGAGGCTTCCTTCTCTTTCTTCTTTTTTCCTGTTAATGAAGGTTCAGAGTCAGGGCAGTGGTGCAGTCCAGCCCTGGCTCCTAGCAAGACTCAGCCACGCTTGCTCAGGAAACATTTCTCTTCTCCTGACCATGTATCAGTCTGATAACAGACCAATATGTTTGCTTTGTAGGATTTGCTAGCACCTCTAGATTGGACCATCAGAACTTGGCAGAAAACGAAAGGATTCCTTTCCATCTCTTGGAGGCTTCATGAGAGCCCAGATGGATGAGCAAGACTCAGCTGGCCCTGAAGCAGGAGGAGGCCCTGCCCTCCAAACTGGGAGCAGTGGGAGATTATGGGAAAACTCAGTGCAGAAGATCCCGGGTGAGGAGGACACCCTCTGCTCAGAGGAGCAGAGCCAGCAGTTGACACAGTTCCGGCTCTCAGGAGGCCAAAGGACCCCGAGAGGCTTGCGGCCGACTCCACCACCTCAACTGTCGGTGGCTGAAGCCAGAAAGTCATACGAAAGCTCAGATGCTGGACCTGGTGATCTTGGAGCAGTTCCTGGCTGTCCTTCCGCTGGAGATGGAGAGCTGGGTGAGGGAATGTGGAGCAGAGACCAGTTCCCAGGCTGTAGCCCTGGCCGAAGGTTTCCTCCTGAGTCAGGCAGAGGAGAGGAAGCAGGCAGAGCAGCAGGTGAGAGAGACTTTCCTCTGGAAACTTCCAAGGGGCTCCAAGCAAGACAGGGAGCCTTCCAAGATGCTCTCCTAACGGCTCGCCCTCTTTGGAGAAGCAAGGGATGAGATCTGCTCCCCTAAAGTGTTTGCTCCGATCATTCCTTTTCTAATCCTTCTCCCCATTCTCTGTTTTGAACCCTTGTTACTCTTTCAGGAAAAGGGTCTCTTTGCAGAAATGGGCCTGGATTCCTGTGAGGCAGAGAAGACTCCGTTGGACGCCAGAGGGAGGCCACTGGGTAAGGAGGAACTCGTCTTTCTTCTCATTCTGTGGATCTTGAAACTAATCTTTGGGTTCTGTTCATCTTTAGGGGGGGAGGCACTTGGGGCCAAGAGCCCAAAGGAGGGCAGATGTATTTTGAAGAACCAAAATTTGAAATGGGTACAATGTCAAAATGCACTCAACAAGCAAGACCTTTTCCATGGCACATCTGTGGCCCTTATCTCTAAGTGCTGAACCTCTAGTTAGAGGTAGGTAGCCGTCTTGGTCAGCCGTAGTTGGAAAAGGAAAAAAATGAGCTTTCGTGTGCATGCAAACTACTTCAGATACACTGAAACAGAAGTCTCTTTCAGCAGCCTGTTTCAGTGTGTCTGAAGAAGTGAGAGACGCAGAAACTGATGGCTTCCCTTTGACTTTTGTCTCTCGCAGGTGACCGAAGGATGCCCCCCAGACCTCCTCATCCATCTTTTCATGAGAACGGAGGAGAAGCAGCAGCTGTGGAAACAGATCTGGTATGGGGAAAGAGCTTTGTGGGGAAAGAGTCAGAGGAGTGGGGCAGCCAGGGAGCCTCTGGGCCGGAAAGAATTTCTCCTCCTCTTGGCTTCTGTCAAAGCCTCTGTCCTGAACAAAGATGGACAATGCCATTCAGGAAGGTTTATGTGCTGACAGTAATGAATAGCCATCTCTCCTTAACTGGGCTTCGGAATGTCACTATTTTTATGATTTATCAGTAGCTGCAGTTATATTTCTATATTGAACTAATCAGGCTTCTAAGCAGTTGAGAAGCTTCCAAGAAGTTGAGAAGCCATAGCAAACAGTGGCCGGGATTCACCTCAGCAGCCCCTTCAGCTGAAGAAGGGGAATTCCCCTCCTCCCCCTCTCTGTGCCCCCATGAGCCCCTTGAAGTTGGCTGTAGGGCAGAGGGAGGGTCCCATCGCCCCCCAAGCATCACACAGCGGGAGTAGAGAAGGGATCGTTCTGTCTGGCAGACAGGAATACTTCCACAGACAGAATGATTTGAAGAACATCATGCGGAGTTCCACCCATTCACACAAAGATTAATACCCATCATTAGAATGCACAGTAAAATAAATCAGTTGAAATGCTAAAATAGGCATCCAGACCTAAAATGTGCAGCCAAATAATCCCATGAAAAGAACACAACAAGGAATGGGCAGAAAACAACTGAGCAATGTATAGTGGATAATCTTTATGCTGTCTCAGAAGAGGACCTTTTTCCTTTTCCTTCAGGGTCCTCTGTGCTTTGAAGATGTCGCTGTGTATTTCACAGAGGAGGAATGGGCGTTGCTGGATCCTGACCAGAGAGCTCTGCATAAGGAAGTCATGGAGGAGAATCGTAGGATTGTGGACTCTCTCAGTAAGGATTCCTGCTGGACTATAATATATGTTTTGAAATACACCCACCCACCCACACAAACCCACACACCCCTACCTCCACCTGTGAGAATCCTGCAATATTTTGCTGGCGCTTGACAGCATCTGGGATTCTCCTTCCCCGCAGCTCACCTTGAATCTACTGTTCTGTCTGCAAATATTCTTGCCCCACATATGCCTTTTTAAACCATGACCAGGCTGGTCTGAGCTGCCCAGACCTTCTTGAATGTAACTTTCTGTATGTGGCAGAAGAAGTAGCAGCTTCTGTGAGGTTTTCTGTTTCTGCTTCGATCACTTTCTGGTTGACCAAAGAGACAACTGGCCTTGCAGATGGAGGAGATTCCATGATTAGGCCAAACAAGATCCTTCCCGGAAGATGCCAGTCTGTTTGAATCTCAGGTTCCCATCAATCTGTGTGTCAATGAGAGTCAACAAAGCCAGTGAACCCTGTAGTAAGACATCGGATCTAACTCCCTTCCGTTCTTCATCGATCACAAACATTCATTAGCAGTCTTCCATAATTTGGTGCTTTATTTCTTCCTGAGGCTCTAATCTGTTTCTCTCTTTGATGCAGGTGGAGATGGATTGGAAATTATGAACAAGGGGAACCGTGACAACATTCACACTGTGTGGAAGTTGTATAAATATTTGGAGTGTGGAGAGAGTTATAGTCTGAGCTCCCATTCTACTTCACATAAAATATATCCTACTGGGAAAAATCGTTATTGGTACTTGGAAGATGGTAAGACATTTCGTCAGAAGACATTTCTCACTTTCCCTAAAAGAACTCACAGCAGGGAGAAACCCCATCAGTGTTTGGAATGTGGGAAGAGGTTCAGTCACAGGGCTGTGCTCAAGGCCCATCAAAGAAGTCATACAGGAGAGAAACCCTCTAAGTGCTTGGAATGTGGAAAGAGCTTCAGGCAGAAAGCTAATCTCACAGATCATCAAAGAATTCATACAGGGGAGAAACCATATCAGTGCTTGGAATGTGGAAAGAGCTTCAAACTGAAGAGACATCTCACTTATCATCAAGCAATTCATAGTCAGGAGAGACCATATCAGTGCTTGGAGTGTGGGAAGAGCTTCAGGGAGAAATCTAAGCTCACTTCCCATCAAAGAATTCATACAGGGGAGAAACCATATCAGTGCTTGGAGTGTGGGAAGAGCTTCAGTCAGAGGGGTCATCTCACTTCCCATCAAAGTATTCATACAGGGAAGAAACCATATCAGTGCTTAGAATGTGGAAAGAATTTTAGTCGGAAGGATACCCTTACTTCACATGAAAGAATTCACCGAGTGGAGAAACCATATAAATGCTTGGAATGTGGAAGGGGCTTCATTAAGGGCTGCCAGCTCACTTCCCATCAAACAATTCACACTGGGGAGAAACCCCATCAGTGCTTAGATTGTGGGAAGACCTTCACTCGCAAGAATAGTCTCACTTTCCATCAAAGAATTCATACAGGGGAGAAACCATATCAGTGCTTGGAATGTGGGAAGAACTTCACTAGCAAGAATAGTTTCACTTCCCATCAAAGAATTCATACAGGGGAGAAACCATATCAGTGCTTGGAATGTGGAAAGAGCTTCAGGCAGAAAGCTAAGCTCACTTCCCATCAAAGAATTCATACAGGGGAGAAACCATATCAGTGCTTGGAATGTGGGAAGAACTTCACTAGCAAGAATAGTTTCACTTCCCATCAAAGAAGTCATACAGGGGAGAAACTATATCAGTGCTTGGAATGTGGAAAGAGCTTCAGGCAGAAAGCTAAGCTCACAGCCCATCAAAGAAGTCATACAGGCGAGAAACCATATCAGTGCTTGGAATGTGGAAAGAATTTTAGTCGGAAGGATACCCTTACTTCACATGAAAGAATTCACCGAGTGGAGAAACCATATAAATGCTTTGAATGTGGAAGGGGCTTCTTTAGGGGCTGCCAGCTCACTTCCCATCAAACAATTCACACTGGGGAGATACCCCATCAGTGCTTGGAATGTGGAAAGAGCTTCAGTCACAAGCAGGGTCTCACTTCCCATCAAAGAATTCATACAGGGGAGAAACCGTATCTGTGCTTGGAATGTGGAAAGAAGTTCACCTGGAAAAAAACTTTCACTTCCCATCAAAGAATTCATACAGGGGAGAAACCGTATCAGTGCTTGGAATGTGGAAAGAGCTTCAGTCACAGGCCGGGTCTCACTTACCATCAAAGAATTCATACAGGGGAGAAACCGTATCAGTGCTTGGAATGTGGAAAGAGCTTCAGTCACAAGCAGGGTCTCACTTCCCATCAAAGAATTCATACAGGGGAGAAACCATATCAGTGCTTGGAATGTGGAAAGAGCTTCAGTAGGAAGAGAAGTCTGACTTGCCATCAAAGAAGGCATACAAGGTATGAACCCTATAAATGCTTGGAGTGTGGAAAGAGTTTCAGTCAGAAGGACCATCTCATATCCCATCAAAGTATTCATACAGGGGAGAAGCCATATCGGTGCTTGGAATGTGGAAAGAGCTTCAAATGGAAGAAAAGTCTCACTTTCCATCAAGGAACTCACAGCAGGGAGAATCATGGTATTTGAAGATGGGTCTCCTATCTCCTCTCAATCTCCTCTTTTGCAGTCTAAGCCTACCGAGCTCCTTCTATCGTTCCTTAAAAGGCTTGGTTTCCAAATGCTTGATTATATTGGTCACCATTCTCTGCACAGATTCCAACTTCTCAATATCCTCCTTTGATTGTGACATCCAGAATTGAGCACAGGACTCCAGGTGTGGTCTGACCAAGGCAGAAGGGAACATAGTCTTACTTCCCATGACCTGGACATTAGACATCTGTTGATATAGCCTGAAATAGCATTAGCTTATTTTGCTACTGACTCACCTTGTTGACTCACGTTAAGCTTGTGTCCTTTTCACATGTGCTGCTGGCAAGCGTGGTGTTTCCCATAGAATCATAGAATTGTAGAGGTCTAATGGTCTTAGTGGACCACAAGCTAAACATGATTCAATCGTCTGATGGCATCCAGCATGGAAGGAGTGCCTCCGTTTTTTAGCATTTTTAGGGTTAGGGTTCCACTGCGGGAGGCAGTGGAAGACAGGAGGGCCTGGCGTGCTCTGGTCCAGGGGTCACGAAGAGGCGGACACGACTCAACGATCAACAACAAGCAGTCTCTGCTCTTTTTGCCTTCCCTGGGAGGAAGGCTGAGTGGATGTCTGAAACTCAATGTCAACCTGAAACTCAGTCCAGATAAGACTGAGGCAGTTAGTGGGTGGTGCCCTAGACCAGATGGGTGGGAGATGGCCTGCTCTTAAAAGAAATTAAATTGGTTTTACATAAAGTTATACATAATAACTGTAACCTTTCCAAAACATACAAAATATCAAGGTTCTTTCACACCTTCAGACCTTCCCCCACATGGGTTCCAGTTCTAAAGATGTTATCTTTTCCCTTTTCCCTGCATCTTTTACCATTATCCATCTCTTATGTAACCATAGTAACCAAAGTTCAGTTCACATTGCAAGTGTCATTGCATCCCTGCCCGTGATTTTAACTGTCTACAGTATCTGTCAAGTATACTGTCAAGTATACAATAAAATTATTCCAGTCTTTTAAAAATACTTGTTCTTCCTGGTTTCTGATCTTTGCCCTTAGTCTCGCCATTTCTGCGCATTCCATCAGTTTGGTCTGCCGCTCTTCCTTAGTCGGTAGAATCATAGAATCATAGAATCATAGAGTTGGAAGAGGCCACAAGGGCCATCGAGTCCAACCCCCTGCCAAGCAGGAAACACCATCAGAGGACTCCTGACATATGGTTGTCAAGCCTCTGCTTAAAGACCTCCAAAGTAGGAGACTCCACCACACTCCTTGGCAGCAAATTCTTCACCTTCTTTCCATCTCTGGGCCAAAAACATTCCCGCTGCCGTCATTCCGTACGTAAACAGTCTCTTATTTCCTTTGGGAATTCATCACATATATTATATTATAACAGAGAAGCCTCTGGTTTTCTGCCAAAGGGTGAGGGGAGAGACTCCACCAGGCAAGGCCTCCTTCCACCTGCCTTGCCCACCCTCTGCTACTCAATGTGTTTTGTATTGTTTTGTCTACTGTGGCTTGCCGTTGTTTTATTGATTATATTTAGATATTATTGTAACTGTTAGGTGGATTTCTGTTTAACTTTTATATGTTATTATTATGTTATACTATTCTAATTAATGGTTGAATGTTGCTATTTTGATGTACGCTGCCCATTTTAAAGTTATGTTTTGTATTGCATTAGATTGTTAGAAGATGTACATTTTCTGTTTCTTCAGCTTGTAAACCGTCTTGAGGATTGTAAGATAGAAAGGCAGTATACAAATTAAAATTGATGATGTTGATGATGACAAAAGTTTTCTTAAACGCTTTCATTAATTCAGTATATATCATTCCCCAGAACGCTTTTACCACTCCACAGGACCACCACATATGATAAAAGGTACCTTCTTTCCTTTTACATTTCCAGCACAAATTTGAGCTGGTTCTATACATTTGTGCAATTTTACTCAGTGTTAGGTACCAACAGTACATCATTTTCATATAGTTTTCTTTCAATGGAAAAGCAAGCTGTAAATTTCAAATCCTCTTTCCATGACTTTTCCCATGATAGAAATTGTATATTATAACCAAAGTCTCTTGCCCACCACTGATTTTACTTCATCATTTTTAGTATACCATTCTAGGGAGATGGCCTGCTCTTGATGGGGTGACCCTTCCTCTGAAGGAGCAGCTTCATAGCTTGGGGTCCTCCTGGATCCTTTCCTGTCGCTCCAGGCTCAGCTGGCCTCCGTGGCCCAGAGTGCCTTCCATCAGCTTCGGCTGGTGGCCCAACTACGCCCCTGTCTGGACAGGGATCACCCAACTACTGTTGTCTATGCTCTGGCAACCTCAAGGTTAGATTACTGCAATGCGTTCTACGTAGGGCCTCTGAAGACGGTTCGGAAACTTCAGCTGGTGCAGAATTCAGCGGCCAGGTTGCTCACCGGAGCAAGACGGTTTGAACATGTTGCACCAATCCTGGTCCGACTGCACTGGCTGCCAATTCAGTGTGCTGGTTTGACCTATTGTCGCCGGAAACCCCCCCCCCCCAACTCACTGACACGTGTTACACAAGCACCACACTCACACACGCATACATTTCCCCTTCCTGACCCTGGAGATGTCCCTTTTAGAGGGACATCCCTTAAAGCCTTCCGTAAATAAGGAAGCGCTGGCTTGACAGCTTCCCGCTATGGCGCTCCGCATCGCCCTATTTCTATTGAGAGTAGACCGGCCGACCGAACTCTGCTGTCAATCGGCGCCCGCCTCAGCCAATCAACATTACCGAACAGCGCCCCTTGCGGCGGCCACGCGGGTACTGCAGGCTACTGCCGCTCTCCCCTTACCTTTGACAGCTCTCAATACAAGGTTTCCGAGTTCAATTGACCGTGACTGATTTAATCAAAATGTAGCAAGCCGCTTCCTGAAAGCGAAAGTGCTTTGAACTTCAAAGACAATATTCTTCATAAATTCACTAAAAATCAGCCGTACTTCGGATTTTCACCGGACCACTTTTATTCTGCTGGATATTACAAAGACTATCAAAGGGGGGTGGTCCGAAATCAAGCGGCCATAATCCCTTAACCGAGCAGTCACGTACTCTGTGTTCCTTCCTACTAGACGTGACCACCTTGATAGCCGTCAGTGATCGGCTCAGACAGGAGGCTATCAAAGACACAATGAACTGCATATCTTGGTGTATTCCGCGCAGACATACACAAAAGACTGTGATCGGACTCTCCTCAGGGGGCAGGAAACTTTGCCCTCTTCCTTTGTTTTCGTATATGACTCATGCGGGGAGGGGGAAGGGGGCTCCGGCCAGGTGTCAGGACACTCGGGTTACCTGCGCGGCCCCTCCCCAACCCCTCCTATTTTTAATATAATCGTGATGTAAATGTGATGTAATTCTGAGGGTGTAGCTTAGGGGATTAGCAACTAATAAAAGTTAGGGTCTCCCTTTGTTCGGGGCTTCCATTTTGCTTCACCTTGTGGGCGGTGGGAGTCCTGTCGCGACAGTCTTTCTAAATAAAGACCGAGCCTACTGGCTGCTGTTTTGCTCTGACTTGCTCTGGTCGGTGTCTTCATTTGCCCAAGAGGACCCTTGAATTTCCGTTAACACTATAAAGCCTTAAACAGCTGAGGACCGCAATTCCTCAAGGACCACCTCTCTCCATATGAACCTACCCGGACCCTAAGATCATCTTTTGAGGCCCTTCATCGTGTCCCTCCTCCCTGAGAGGTCCGGAGGGTGGCAGCACAGGAACGGGGCCTTCTCTGCAGTGGCTCCCCATGTGAAGAATGCTCTCCCCAGGGAGGTTCCCCCAAGCGCCTTTCTTACACACCTTTAGGCACCGGGCAAAAATGTTCTTTTTTAACCAGGCCTTTGGTTGATTTGATTGACATCCTATGGCCTTTTAAAATGTGTTTGGGGGGGGAGGGTTTATCAGGTGGTTGTTGTTTTTATTTTGATTATTCTGTGGTTTTATATTCTGGTTTTATTTTGTGAATTGCCCTGAAAGCCTGTGGGCATAGGGCGGTATATAAATTTAATAAAGAAGTAAAATGTCTCCTCCCAGGCTTGTTTCCCCCTCTGGATAAACAGCTCCTGCTGAAGTTGCAGGGGGGCAGCGAGAGCGGCAGTAGCAGACCCAGCACCCCCCTCTTGCGCCCCAGAGGCGCTTGCTCTAAAGGGGAAGGGGAGGCCAAGGCAGCCCCCCTTTTCCTGCTCAGTCCAACACGTGGACCTTCCCTTCCTCTGTTGGGTGAGGAAGGGCTGCTGGACGGTCAAGGCCCGTCAAAGGCGACTGGGGTGCAGAGCTCATCTTCCTTCGGGCTGAGGGAGCCCATGTTGGTCCGCAGACAGGTTTCCGGGTCATATGGGCAGCAGGACTGAACCGCTTCCGGTGCAACGGGACACTGTGAGAAGTGCCAGAGCGCACAGAAACACCACAGTGGTACCTATTTCTCTACTTGCGCTGGTGTGCTTTTGAACTGTTAGGTTGGCAGGAGCTGGGACAGAGCAAGGGGAGCTCAGTCATGGGGACTGGAAACACAGACCTTCCGCTGGGCAGCCCAAGTCTCAGTGGCTTATAGACCACAGAACCCCCTGTGCCCCACGACCTTCCCTTTTTTTGCGGGAAATTCCCTTATTCCAGCGCCGTTTCCCGCTGCTATCCCAGATTGTTAGATCTCCCATAGACTGTCCCTGGGACAGGGGAGGCTGCTGATCCCTTATTTTCAAATCTGAAAGTGGACATCTCTGGCCCTGCCTGCTCTTTAGCCCTGGCCCTAATAGGCCAGAAATTGCAACCCCTCCAGGCCCCCCCGCCCTGCCTTCTGCCCTGCCCATCCCGGGGGGACAGGGGGCTCCTCTTTCCCCCTCTCGGCTCCTGGCCAGGCTCCTTTTCCTCCTCCGGCCCCCAGGCTCCCCCAAACGAGGGACCAGCTGGGTGCGCCATTGTGGGCACAGGATCCTGGGCCGGATGGGTCCCCTTTGGCGCAATGCAGCTGCCTCAGAGCTCTTCTTGCATGGAGCCTCCAGGGCCAGAGCCAGTCTACCTTAGTGGGCAAAAGGCGCTCTCCTCCTGGGTGCCATTGTGGGCGCAGGATCCCGGGCCGGATGGGTCCCCTTTGGCACAAGGCACCTGCCCCAGGGCTCTCCCTGGTTTCGGAGGAGTCCTGCATGGAGCCTCCCACTGCTATCCCGGATTGTTAGACATCCCATAGACTGTCCCTGGGACAGGGGAGGCTGCTGATCCCTTCTTTTCAAATCTGAAAGTGGACAGCTATGGCAGGATCCTGGGCCGGATGGGTCCCCTTTGGCGCGAGGCACCTGCCTCAGGGCTCTTCTTGCATGGAGCCTCCAGGGCCAGAGCCAGTCTATCTTAGAGCGGCACAAGGCGCTCTCCTCCAGCTTGGGGCGCCTGGGTGCCACTGTGGGCGCAGGATCCTGGGCCGGATGGGTCCCTTTGGCGCGAGGCACCTGCCTCAGGGCTCTTCTTGCATGGAGCCTCCAGGGCCAGAGCCAGTCTACCTTAGAGGGCAAAAGGCGCTCTCCTCCAGCTTGGGGCGCCTGGGTGCCACTGTGGGCGCAGGATCCTGGGCCGGATGGGTCCCCTTTGGCGCGAGGCACCTGCCTCAGGGCTCTTCTTGCATGGAGCCTCCAGGGCCAGAGCCAGTCTACCTTAGAGGGCAAAAGGCGCTCTCCTCCAGCTTGGGGCGCCTGGGTGCCGGATTCTTAGACCTCCCCTAGACTGTCCCCGGGACCGGGGAGGCTGCTGCTCCCTTGTCCGCTCTGGCCCTGCCCATCCGGGGGGGGGGAGGGGGCTCCTCTTTCTCCTTCTCGCCAGGCTAGGCAAGGGTTAAGAGCAGCTGAGCCGCCTTCCTAGAGAGGACAGGAAAGGAATGACGGAGGCGGGTCTTCCGGAGCCCCTCCCCGGCCCCCTCTTGTCTCCTCCGGTGAGTCTCCTCTCCCCCTTCGGGGTCCCGGGATGCAGGGGGTCCTATTGGGGGGGGGCTCCTGCAGGGAGGGGCAGGCAGGGCTTGGCAAAGGGGGGGCGAGGGGGTTTCTCCAGCTGGGGGTCACCAGACTACAACTCCCATCATCCCTGAGCCCTGGCCTGGCTAGCGGGGGGTGATGGGAGTTGTAGTCCAGCCACATCTGGGGCCCCAGCTGGAGAAAGGCTGGTCCAGATGCTGCGGGACTGAGGACCCCGCGGGGCCCTTCCAGCTCCGCCATGAAACGGGAAACTGCAGCCCAGACCTCAATGCTCAGATCTGCCTCCCCCAGACTGAGGAGGAAGCCTTGGGGAGAAGCCTAGAATCTCAGACTTGGAAGGGACCCAAAGGACATCTAGTCCTCTCCTTTAGTCGTTTAGTCGTGTCCGCCTCTTCGTGACCCCCTGGACCAGAGCACGCCAGGCCCTCCTGTCTTCCACTGCCTCCCGCAGTTTGGTCAAACTCATGCTGGTAGCTTCGAGAACACTGTCCCACCATCTCCTCCTCTGTCGTCCCCTTCTCCTTGTGCCCTCCATCTTTCCCAACGTCAGGGTCTTTTCCAGGGAGTCTTCTCTTCTCATGAGGTGGCCAAAGTCTTGGAGCCTCAGCTTCAGGATCTGTCCTTCCAGTGAGCACTCCACAATGAAACGGAAAACTGAAGCCCAGACCTAAATCGCAGGTCTTTCCCCAAATGCTCAGATCTGCATCCCCCAGACTGAAGAGGAAGCCTCTCACTTTTCTTTCCGGTTGGGACTGCCTGCATTTGGGCCTTCAATATTTCACCTTGAAGAAGCTCCCATTTATTTCAGTATTTCAGAACATAGGATCTCACCCAGCATCTCCTTAAGTTTCTTTTAATTGGCCGCCTTAAAGTGAATTCCTGACTACACTCAGCTTGCCTTTCCCTCTGTCTCAGGGGAGGACATGATCACTTTCCTCCCAAGTTTCCCAGTACTTCCACTTGGTTGATCAGTTCCCATCTGTTATTGAGGACTAGGTCCAAGACAGATGATCCCCTTCTTGTTTCTTCCACCTTCTGGGTCATGAAATTGTCACTGAGGCAATTCTGCATGGTCGCTTTCCTTAGACCAGGGCTAGACGCTTCCTTCTCTTTCCTCTTCCTTTTTTCCTGTTAATGAAGGTTCAGAGTCAGGGCAGTGGTGCAGTCCAGCCCTGGCTCCTAGCAAGACTCAGCCACGCTTGCTCAGGAAACATTTCTCTTCTCCTGACCATGTATCAGTCTGATAACAGACCAATATGTTTGCTTTGTAGGATTTGCTAGCACCTCTAACTCGGACCATCAGAACTTGGCAGAAAATGAAAGGATTCCTTCGGATCTCTTGGAGGCTTCATGAGAGCCCAGATGGATGAGCAAGACTCAGCTGGCCCTGAAGCAGGAGGAGGCCCTGCCCTCCAAACTGGGAGCAGTGGGAGATTATGGGAAAACTCAGTGCAAAAGATCCTGGGTGGGGAGGACACCCTCTGCTCAGAGGTGCAGAGCCAGCAGTTGACACAGTCCGGCTCTCAGGAGGCCAAAGGACCCCGAGAGGCTTGCGGCCGACTCCACCACCTTGACTGTCGGTGGCTGAAGCCAGAAAGTCATACGAAAGCTCAAATGTTGGACCTGGTGATCTTGGAGCAGTTCCTGGCTGTCCTTCCGCTGGAGATGGAGAGCTGGGTGAGGGAATGTGGAGCAGAGACCAGTTCCCAGGCTGTAGCCCTGGCCGAAGGTTTCCTCCTGAGTCAGGCAGAGGAGAGGAAGCAGGCAGAGCAGCAGGTGAGAGAGACTTTCCTCTGGAAACTCCCCAGGGGCTCCAAGCAAGACAGGGAGCCTTCCAAGATGCTCTCCTAACGGCTCGCCCTCTTTGGAGAAGCAAGGGATGAGATCTGCTCCCCTAAAGTGTTTGCTCCGATCATTCCTTTTCTAATCCTTCTCCCCATTCTCTGTTTTGAACCCTTGTTACTCTTTCAGGGAAAGGATCTCTTTGCGGAAATGGGCCTGGATTCCTGTGAGGCAGAAAAGACTCCGTTGGACGCCAGAGGGAGGCCACTGGGTAAGGAGGAACTCGTCTTTCTTCTCATTCTGTGGATCTTGAAACTAATCTTTGGGTTCTGTTCATCTTTAGGGGGGGAGGCACTTGGGGCCAAGAGCCCAAAGGGGGGCAGATGTATTTTGAAGAAACAAAATTTGAAATGGGTACAATGTCAAAATGCACTCAACAAGCAAGACCTTTTCCATGGCACATCTATGGCCCTTATCTCTAAGTGCTGAACCTCTAGTTACAGGTAGGTAGCCGTGTTGGTCTGCCGTGGTTGGAAAAGGAAAAAAATGAGCTTTCGTGTGCATGCAAACTACTTCAGATACACTGAAACAGAAGTCTCTTTCAGCAGCCTGTTTCAGTGTGTCTGAAGAAGTGAGAGACGTAGAAACTGATGGCTTCCCTTTGACTTTTGTCTCTCGCAGGTGACCAAAGGATGCCCCCCAGACCTCCACATCCATCTTTTCATGAGAACGGAGGAGAAGCAGCAGCTGTGGAAACAGATCTGGTATGGGGAAAGAGCTTTGTGGGGAAAGAGTCAGAGGAGTGGGGCAGCCAGGGAGCCTCTGGGCCGGAAAAAATTTCTCCTCCTCTTGGCTTCTGTCAAAGCCTCTGTCCTGAACAAAGATGGACAATGCCATTCAGGAAGGTGTATGTGCTGACAGGAATGAACAGCCATCTCTCCTTAACTGGGATTCGGAATGTCACTATTTTTATGATTTATTAGTAGCTGCAGTTATATTTCTATATTGATCTAATCCGGCTTCTAAGCAGTTGAGAAGCTTCCAAGAAGTTGAGAAGCCATAGCAAACAGTGGCCGGGATTCACCTCAGCAGCCCCATCAGCTGAAGAAGGGGAATTCCCCTCCTCCCCCTCTCTGTGCCCCCATGAGCCCCTTGAAGTTGGCTGTAGGGCAGAGGGAGGGTCCCATTGCCCCCCAAGCATCGCACAGCGGGAGTAGAGAAGGGATCGTTCTGTCTGGCAGACAGGAATACTTCCATAGACAGAATAATTTGAAGAACAGCATGCGGAGTTCCACCCATGCACACAAAGATTAATACTCATCATTAGAATGCACAGTAAAATAAATCATTGAAATGCTAAAATAGGCATCCAGACCTAAAACGTGCAGCCAAATAATCCCATTAAAAGAACACAACAAGGAATGGGCAGAAAACAACTGAGCAATGTATAGTGGATAATCTTTATGCTGTCTCAAAAGAGGACCTTTTTCCTTTTCCTTCAGGGTCCTCTGTGCTTTGAAGATGTCGCTGTGTATTTCACAGAGGAGGAGTGGGCGTTACTGGATCCTGACCAGAGAGCTCTGCATAAGGACGTCATGGAGGACAATCGTGCGACTGTGGATTCTCTCAGTAAGGATTCCTGCTGGACTACAATATATGTTTTGAAATACACCCACCCACCCCTGTGAGAATCCTGCAATATTTTGATGGCGCTTGACAGCATATGGGATTCTCCTTCCCCATAGCTCACCTTGAATCTACTGTTTTGTCTGCAAATATTCTTGCCCCACATATGCCTTTTTAAACCATGACCAGGCTGGTCTGAGCTGTCCAGACCTTCTTGAATGTAACCTTCCATGATGTGGTTAGAATTAGCAGCTTCTGTGAGGTTTTCTGTTTTTGCTTTGGTCGCTTTCTGGTTGACCAAAGAGACAACTGACCTTGCAGATGGGGCAGATTCCACGATTAGGTCAAACAAAATCCACCCTGGAAGATCCCAGGCTGTTTGAATCTCAGGTTCCCATCAATCTGTGCGTCAATGAGAGTCAACAAAGGCAGTGAACCTCGTAGTAAGGCCTTAGATCTAAGTCCCTTCCGTTCTTCATCAATCACAAACATTCATTAGCAGTCTTCCATAATTTGGGGCTCTATTTCTTCCTGAGGCTCTAATCGGTTTCTCTCTTTGATGCAGGTGCTGATGGATTGGAAATTATGAACAAGGGGAACCGTGACAACATTCACGCAGTGGGGAAGTTGTATAAATATTTGGAGTGTGGAGAGAGTTATAGTCTGAGCTCCCATTCTACTTCCCATAAAATATATCCTGTTGGCAAAAATCATCGGAACTTGGAAGATAGTAAGACATTTCGTCAGAAGACATTTCGCACTTTCCATAAAAGAATTCATACAGGGGAGAAACCCCATCAGTGCTTAGAATGTGGGAAGAGCTTCAGTTACAGGCATGTGCTCAAGGCCCATCAAAGAATTCATACAGGGGAGAAACCCCATCAGTGCTTAGAATGTGGGAAGAGCTTCAGTTGCAAAAATAGTCTCACTTCCCATCAAAGAATTCATACAGGAGAGAAACCCCATCAGTGCTTAGAATGTGGGAAGAGCTTCAGTTGCAAAAATAGTCTCACTTCCATCAAAAGAATTCATACAGGGGAGAAACCCCATCAGTGCTTAGAATGTGGGAAGAGCTTCAGTTGCAAAAATAGTCTCACTTCCCATCAAAGAATTCATACAGGAGAGAAACCATATCAGTGCTTGGAATGTGGAAAGAATTTTAGTCGGAAGGATTACCTTACTTCACATGAAATAATTCACAAAGGGGAGAAACCCCACCAGTGTTTGGAATGTGGGAAGAGCTTCAAACTGAAGAGACATCTCACTTATCATCAAACAATTCACAGCCGGGAGAGACCATATCAGTGCTTGGAGTGTGGTAAGAGCTTCAGTTGGAAGGACCATCTCATATCCCATCAAAGTATTCATACAGGGGAGAAACCCTATACGTGCTTGGAATGTGGAAAGAGCTTCAGGCAGAAAGCTAAGCTCACAGATCATCAAAGAATTCATACAGGGGAGAAACCATACAAGTGCTTGGAATGTGGAAAGAGCTTCAGGCAGAAAGTTCAGCTCACAGATCATCAAAGAAATCATACAGGGGAGAAACCATATCAGTGCTTGGAATGTGGAAAGAATTTTAGTCGGAAGGGTACCCTTAGTTCACATGAAAGAATTCACCGAGTGGAGAAACCATATAAATGCTTGGAATGTGGAAGGGGCTTCATTAAGGGCTGCCAGCTCACTTCCCATCACAGAATTCATACAGGGGAGAAGCCATATCAGTGCTTGGAATGTGGAAAGAACTTCAGTCAGAAGGGACAACTTACTTCCCATCAAACAAATCACCGTTAGGAGAGACCATATCAGTGCTTGGAATGTGGAAAGAGCTTCAAATGGAAGACAAGTCTCACTTTTCATCAAGGAACTCACAGCAGGGAGAATCATGGTATTTGAAGATGGGTCTCCTATCTCCTCTCAATCTCCTCTTTTGCCAGACTAAGCCTACCCAGCTCCTTCTATCGTTCCTTAAAAGGCTTGGTTTCCAAATGCTTGATTATATTGGTCACCCTTCTCTGCACAGATTCCAACTTCTCAATATCCTCCTTTGATTGTGACATCCGGAATTGAGCACAGGACTCCAGGTGTGGTCTGACCAAGGCAGAAGGGAACATAGTCTTACTTCCCATGACCTGGACATTAGACGCCTGTTGAGATAGCCTGAAATAGCATTACCTTAATTTGCTACTGACTCACCTTGTTGACTCACGTTAAGCTTTTGGTGTCCTAAGACCCTTAGATCATTTTCACATATGCTGCTGGCAAGCGTGGTGTTTCCCATAGAATCATAGAATTGTAGAGGTCTAATGGTCTTAGTGGACCACAAGCTAAACATGATTCAATCGTCTGATGGCATCCAGCATGGAAGGAGTGCCTCCGTTTTTTAGCATTTTTAGGGTTAGGGTTCCACTGCGGGAGGCAGTGGAAGACAGGAGGGCCTGGCGTGCTCTGGTCCAGGGGGTCACGAAGAGGCGGACACGACTCAACGACTCAACAACAAGCAGTCTCTGCTCTTTTTGCCTTCCCTGGGAGGAAGGCTGAGTGGATGTCTGAAACTCAATGTCAACCTGAAACTCAGTCCAGATAAGACTGAGGCAGTTAGTGGGTGGTGCCCTAGACCAGATGGGTGGGAGATGGCCTGCTCTTAAAAGAAATTAAATTGGTTTTACATAAAGTTATACATAATAACTGTAACCTTTCCAAAACATACAAAATATCAAGGTTCTTTCATACCTTCAGACCTTCCCCCACATGGGTTCCAGTTCTAAAGATGTTATCTTTTCCCTTTTCCCTGCATCTTTTAGCATTATCCATCTCTTATGTAACCATAGTAACCAAAGTTCAGTTCACATTGCAAGTGTCATTGCATCCCTGCCCGTGATTTTAACTGTCTACAGTATCTGTCAAGTATACTGTCAAGTATACAATAAAATTATTCCAGTCTTTTAAAAATACTTGTTCTTCCTGGTTTCTGATCTTTCCCCTTAGTCTCGCCATTTGTGCGCATTCCATCAGTTTGGTCTGCCGCTCTTCCTTAGTCGGTACTTCACCTTCTTTCCATCTCTGGGCCAAAAACATTCCCGCTGCCGTCATTCTGTACGTAAACAGTCTCTTATTTCCTTTGGGAATTCATCACATATATGATATTATAAGAGAGAAGCCTCTGGTTTTCTGACAAAGGGTGAGGGGAGAGACTCCATCAGGCAAGGCCTCCTTCCACCTGCCTTGCCCACCCTCTCCTTCTCAATGTGTTTTGTATTGTTTTGTCTACTGTGGCTTGCCGTTATAGTTTAGATATTATTGTAACTGTTGAGCGGATTTCTGTTTAACTTTTATATGTTATTATTATGTTATACTATTCTAATTAATGGTTGAATGTTGCTATTTTGATGTACGCTGCCCATTTTAAAGTTATGTTTTGTATTGCATTAGATTGTTAGAAGATGTACATTTTCTGTTTCTTCAGCTTGTAAACCGTCTTGAGGATTGTAAGATAGAAAGGCAGTATACAAATTAAAATTGATAATGTTGATGATGACAAAAGTTTTCTTAAACGCTTTCATTAATTCAGTATATATCATTCCCCAGAACGCTTTTACCACTCCACAGGACCACCACATATGATAAAAGGTACCTTCTTTCCTTTTACATTTCCAGCCCAAATTTGAGCTGGTTCCATACATTTTTGCAATTTTACTCAGTGTTAGGTACCAACAGTACATCATATACAGTGGTACCTCGCAAGACGAATGCCTCGCAAGACTGAAAGCTCGCAAGAAGAAAGAGTTTTACGTTTTTCGAGGTGCTTCGCCATACGAATTTCCCTATGGGCTTGCTTCGCAAGACGAAAGCCCATAGGGAAATCTCCGGGGACAGCGGGGAAGCGCAGTGCGTCTTCCCCGCTGTCCCCGGACCTGGTCTGAAGGCGGTCTCCATAGGAACGCATTAATTGATTTTCGATGCATTCCTATGGGAAACCGTGCTTCGCAAGACAAAACATTCGCAAGAAGAAAAAGCTCGCGGAACGAATTAATTTCGTCTTGCAAGGTACCACTGTGGTTTTCTTTCAACAAAGAGTAAGCCGTAAACTTCAAATCCTCTTTCCATGACATTTCCCATGATAATCATAGAATCATAGAGTTGGAAGAGACCACAAGGGCCATCGAGTCCAACCCCCTGCCAAGCAGGAAACACCATCAGAGCACTCCTGACATATGGTTGTCAAGCCTCTGCTTAAAGACCTCCAAAGTAGGAGACTCCACCACACTCCTTGGCAGCAAATTCCACTGTCAAACAGCTTTTACTGTCAGGAAGTTCTTCCTAATGTTGAGGTGGAATCTTCTTTCTTGTAGTTTGGATCCATGGCTCCGTGTCTGCTTCTCTGGAGCAGCAGAAAACAACCTTTCTCCCTCCTCTATGTGACATCCTTTTATATATTTGAACATGGCTATCATATCACTCCTTAACCTCCTCTTCTCCAGGCTAAACATGCCCAGCTCCCTTAGCCGTTCCTCATAAGGCATCGTTTCCAGGCCTTTGACCATTTTGGTTGCCCTCCTCTGGACACGTTCCAGTTTGTCAGTGTCCTTCTTGAACTGTGGTGCCCAGAACTGGACACAGTACTTCAGGTGAGGTCTGACCAGAGCAGAATACAGTGGCACTATTACTTCCCTTGATCTAGATGCTATACTCCTATTGATGCAGCCCAGAATTGCATTGGCTTTTTTAGCTGATAAAAATTGTATATTATAACCATCACAGAATTAACTTCATCATTTTTAGTATACCATTCTAGGGAGATGGCCTGCTCTTGATGGGGTGACCCTTCCTCTGAAGGAGCAGCTTCATAGCTTGGGGTCCTCCTGGATCCTTTCCTGTCGCTCCAGGCTCAGGTGGCCTCCGTGGCCCAGAGTGCCTTCCATCAGCTTCGGCTGGTGGCCCAACTACACCCCAGTCTGGACAGGGATCACCCAACTACTGTTGTCTATGCTCTGACAACCTCAAGGTGAGATTACTGCAATGCGTTACACGTTGGGCTTCCTCTGAAGACGGTTCAGAAACTTCAGCTGGTGCAGAATTCAGCGGCCAGGTTGCTCACCGGAGCAAGATGTTTGAGCATATTGCACCAATCCTGGTCCGACTGCACTGGGTGCCAATTCAGTGTGCTGATTTGACCTATGAAGCCTTAAACAGCTGAGGACCGCAATTCCTCAAGGACCGCCTCTCTCCCTATGAACCTCCCCGGACCCTGAGATCATCTTCTGAGGCCCTTCTTCGTGTCCCTCCTCCCTGAGAGGTCGGAGGGTGGCAGCACAGGAACGGGGCCTTCTCTGCAGTGGCTCCCTATGTGAAGAATGCTCTCCCCAGGGAGGTTCCCCCAAGCGCCTTTGTTACACACCTTTAGGCACCGGGCAAAAATGTTCTTTTTTAACCAGGCCTTTGGTTGATTTGATTGACATCCTATGGCCTTTTAAAATGTGTTTGGGGGGAGGGTTTATCAGGTGGTGGTTGTTTTTATTTTGATTATTCTGTGGTTTTATATTCTGGTATTATTTTGTGAATTGCCCTGAAAGCCTGCAGGCATAGGGCGGTATATAAATTTAATAAAGAAATGAAACGCCTCCTCCCAGGCTTGTTTCCCCCTCTGGATAAACAGCTCCTGCTGAAGTTGCAGGGGGGCAGCGAGGGCGGCAGTAGCAGACCCAGCAGCCCAAGTCGTCAGTGGCTTTACAGACCACAGAACCCCCTGCGCCCACGAACCTGTCCATAGTCTGTCAACCTTCCCGTTTTTGCGGGAATTCCCGGAATGGGTCCCTTTGGCGCGATGCCCCTGCCTTGGGCTCTTCCTGCATGAGCCTCCCGGCGCCAGAGCCATCTACTTAGAGTGGCCCAGAGCACAGGCAGGAGGAAGATGCTCTCTCCTGCTGGGGCGCAGGTCCGGGCCGGATGGGGTCCCTTTGGCGCCAATGCAGCTGCCTCAAGCTCTTTCTTGCATGGAGCCTCCAGGCCAGAGCCAGGTCTACCTTAGGGGCAAAAGCGCTCCTCCTGTGCCACTGTGGGCGCAGGGATCCTGGGCGGATGGTCCCCTTTGGCTCCATGCCACCTGCCTTGGGGCTCTTTCCTGCATGGAGGCCTCACCGGGGCCAGAGGCAAGTCTCCGCTCGGCGCGAGCACTGCTCCGGGTGGGGCGCCGGCCGGTCTCTCTCTCGCCCCGCTGGGGGGCTTCCCTTCGGGGCTCTCCCTTCCTGGGGGTCTCCCGGCTCCTCCCGCCCGGCGGGGCTCCCTCTTCCGGGCGTCATCCCCGCGCGCCGGGCGGAGGCGGCGCCTGTCCTTGGCAATGTCAGCTCCGCCGCCGCCGCCGCCGCCGCCGCCAAGCAGCGCGGAGAAGGAGGAGGAGGAGGAGGAGGAGGAGGGACCCGGCGGCGGCGGCGGCGGCACGTGGTCGGCCCGAGCAAAGGTCTCTGCGGTGGGTCTGGCCGGGCGGAGAGCGCGATCCCGGCGGACGCCCGGCTGGTGGGTGCGCGCTCGCCCCGCACGTGGGAAGCGGGCCGGCGGCGGCGGCGGCGGGACGCGTGTTCTCTCTCGCCGCCCCTCTCGGCGGATCCCCCAGCAGGTACAGCAGCCGCGCGCCCGGCGGTGGGGGCTCCGGGCGGGGGGTCGCCAGGGACCCACCGGATCCTCCCTCCCATCCAGCAGATCCAGAAGGGAATCTGGGCGCCGCCCGACAGCCCTGCCAGGTGGGCTCGCCTGAGAGGTCAGGGCTGAGAGAGGAGGGGGGCCGCCACTCCCGCCCCACGCGGGCTCTGGGGCTGCCGGCCCCGCAAGAAGGGAGCCCCCCCCCAATTGCCACCCGCTGGTCTCTGGGCGCGGGCTGGGGAGAACTGTAATAATAATAACAACAACTGTAATAATAATAATAATAACCGTAATAATAATAATAATAATAATAATAATAATAACCGTAATAATAATGATAATAAATTATTTATTATTTCTACCCCGCCCATCTGGCTGGGTTTCCCCAGCCACTCTGGGCGGCTTCCAACAAAGATTTCCCTGATGCAGCCTCTTCCAGTGCAAGTTGTTCCAAGACTTTCTCTTGCTTAGCTGGGGGGGGGGGTCTCCCCTGTCTTCTTTGGGGTCTAAGTCTCTCCTATTTTTATCCAGAAATTCTCTCGCCTGAAATTCTGGTGTCAGTTTATATCTCCTCTTCATGTATGTAAAAGAAAGACCCTCAGGGAATTCCCATTTATATCTAATGTCGGTTCGCCTTAGAACTGTTGCCAAAAACCGGTATTTTGTTCTTGAGATTAAGAATAAAATGGAAGGGACCCCAAGGGGCATGTGGGGCAGCAGGAGTCCCAGCCTGGCTTCGACCCATTCTGGCTCCGCTCCATTCCCCTTCAGAGGGGTGGAGGCAGGGCCAGATTTACCCATAAGATAAGCAAGCTATAGCTTAAGGCCCCACTCTCTTGGGGGCCCCCCAAAATCACTATTAATATACTTCTTAATTGTATTTCACTTCAACAATTACTTTGATAAAATACATATTTTGTTATGTGCAAATGGCTTGAGATACCTATTAGGTCCATAAATGACCATATAGGTTATAAAGGTAAAGGGACCCCTGACCATTAGGGCCAGTCGTGGACGACTCTGGGGTTGCGGCGCTCATCTCGCATTACTGGCCGAGGGAGCCGGCATACAGCTTCTGGGTCATGTGGCCAGCAGGACGAAGCCACTTCTGGCGAACCAGAGCAGCGTTTACCTTCCCGCCGGAGTGGTACCTATTTATCTACTTGCACTTTGACGTGCTTTCGAACTGCTAGGTTGGCAGGAGCAGGGACCGAGAAACGGGAGCTCACCCCGTTGTGGGGATTCGAACCGCCGACCTTCTGATCGGCAAGTCCTAGGCTCTGTGGTTTAACCCACAGCGCCACCGACGTCCCTATATAGTCAATATATTCAACACCAAAAGCAGGGACAATTTGTTGTAGAAAGGGCCCCCTTACCTTCAGGAGCTGAGGGCCACATCAAACCTCAATCTGGCCCTGGGTGGAGGTGTGGGAGAGGACTGGCCTTCTGGCTCCAGGCCCCCCGTCCCCCTTGAGCCCCCCCCACTCCAGGGGTCTGGGGGCCGCGTGACACAGCGTGGTCATCCTGCACATGAGGTGCCACGTGATGCCGACAGTGTGAAGGGACCCCCCCTTGCCTGCCTGCCCCAAAGAGTCAGGCTGGGGGGCGGAGTGCACCTCTATCCGCTGGATGCGTGACCAGATCCTAGGATCCTAGAGCTGTAAAGTTGGGCAGGGACCCCCAGAGGTCATCTAGTCCAGCCCGCCTGGAAGGCAGGAATCGCAGCTCCAGAATCCCTGGCAGGCAGCTGCCCAGGCTCCGCTGAAAATTCTCCAGGGAAGGAGAGTCAAAGGGGGCTCCTTTTTCCCCATGAAGACCCCACAGCCCTTGGGCGTGATTCAGACGCAAGATATCAGGAGCGTCCTCTGAACAGTACGATCTGTTTGGCAGTGGGGCTGGCTATGGGGTGGGGAGGGGGTCACTCTTGCTGGAGGGGGTGAGGCAGAGGGATTCCCCGGAGGGGCGGAAATGGCCCCCCGGCAAGCGAGGCAGTAGCTGGTTTCCACTGTGCGGCGGGGTGGGCTGGATGTCCTCTGGGTGCCCTTGCCGCTTTAACATCCTTTATTTGCGACAGCAGAGCTCTGGGTGACTCATTGGAGCCTTTGGGAGGAAGCCAGCCTGTTCCTAGCGGACCCCCGGTGGGCAGGAGGCTGGATTGGCAGAGGAGCCTGGAGCTCTGCAAGTTGCAGAGGGGATTGGGGCCACTGGCCTGGGTGGTGGAAAATCCCCACTCAGCCGCGTTGCTCCCTGTGAGGTCACGAGTCTCCCTCTCCCCCAATTTGGAGGCTCCAGCGCAGTTCCTCGGATGCTGTCCTTGGCTGAAGGTCAGGAAAGCCTAGAGGGGGGCCACAGAGGGCAGGGGGCAGAAGGGGGAGCCCACCTTCCCTCCCCCAGACCCCCATCCCTCTGACTCATCTCTGGGGTGCAGGAGAATTCGGCTGGGCTGCCAGTCACGTCTCTGGGCAGAAGCAGTTCTTCAGCTCTGGAAAATCAGCTGAATGGGGGGGGGGACCATTTTGTGGGTGGGCGGGCTTCTGGGAATAGTGAGGGCAGGGAATGCCGCTGGGGCAGGTGAAAGACAGGGGAGTCCTGAGGCGGGGGGGGGGCAGCTGGCCACACATAGCACCCCTCCTTATTCCTGCCCCCCCCCCGGTCAGCCGTGGAGACCCCTGAACTCAGAGGGCCTTGATCTGCTTGGCACAGCTGCAGAGAAGAGGGAGTGCCTGGGTTGCGTTTGCAAGCCCCCCCCCCCATTGTGGCCTTTGCGTGGCTGCTGTGAGGACAGGATGCTGGTCTGGGGGGGGGCACTTTGGCCTGATCCAGCTGCAGCCAGACACTTCTTTGCTTCTTCTGCTGCAAGGCCTCAAATGCCGATACTCTTGCAAACGAAATAGGAAGCAGACATGGCAGTGGCAGCAGCCCCCCTTCTGCACTTTAGAGAAAGCCCCCTCCTCGCTTCTCCGGGGCCCCTATCCGGACCCCCAGACCGGCAGTTCGGCTCTTCTCCTGCTAGGATCAGACAAGCCCTAGCAAGCCACCGTGGACCGTAATCCCAGGAACTATGCATTTGGCATTCTGTGGCTCAGTGCCCTGCAGGATCAGTGCCCTCCCCCCACCCTCCAGAAGTCATTTTCCTCCATGGTGTTCTCTTCCCTGCCTCTCCTTTGAACTTGCAGCCTGGAGGCCGGCTGACTCCTCAAAGTTTGCCAGTTGTAGAGGCTAATCTCCCTCTCTCCCTCCTGCTTAAATGCTTAATCTCTCACTGCACTGTGGCTGATGATTAAGGAGCACTTTCCAAGACCTGAGCTTGCTAGATGGAAGCAAAGCCCTTTGCAAGAGAACTCTGCCCCTGCTGCCTGCTTTGCTAAACCCAAGCTGCTCAATTGCTGCGCCTCAGGTCTTGCAATGCACCCGGTGCCTCGGTTTAAGCAGAATTTGTTTCTTTGCTAGCCGACTAAGCAGAATGTAAAGGGACATGGGTGGTGCTGTGGGTTAAACCACAGAGCCTAGGGCTTGCCGGTCAGAAGGTCAGCGGTTCGAATCCCCGCAACGGAGTGAGCTCCCGTTGCTCGGTCCCTGCTCCTGCCATCCTAGCAGTTCAAACGCACGTCAAAGTGCAAGTAGATCAATAGGTACCACTGTGGCGGGAAGGTAAACGGCGTTTCCGTGCGCTGCTCTGGTTTGCCAGAAGCGGCTTAGTCAACCTGGCCACATGACCTGGAAAAACTGTCTGCGGACAAACGCCAGCTCCCTCGGCCAGTAAAGCGAGATGAGCGCTGCAACCCCAGAGTTGTCTGTGACTGGACCTAATGGTCAGGGGTCCCTTTACCTTTACTAAGCAGAATGTCTCCTTCCTCACTCTTTCTCTTCACATGACTCTTTCTTATTGCAAAATCACAGGCTTGGCGTTGCCATGTGGGACAGCTCTTTGCCTTCTTAAAATACTTTACAAATATTGGTCATGCCTAGATGAGAATGTGCAAATTGGGAGAATAACAAAGGCTGACATGTGAGTCTGGTTGGAATGCGAGTCTTTCTTATTCTTTTCTGCTCTGCCCCGGGGAAGGCTTCCAAGCCACACAGAGGAGCCTCGCTTCTCTTCTGGGGGGGGGGAATCCAAAGAGGGCAGCCTGGCAGTGCCCCCCTCCCTCCACGCTGACCCTCGTTCCCCCCAGCCTGCCCTTGCAGGTCCAGCTTTGGGGGCCTGAACTCAGATTCCAGCCGTGCATCCTGCATGTGGGACCCCCACAAATGATCCTCCCCCCCCCTTTGCAAGGGGCCTGTGCTGCTTCCCCCCCCCATTGGACGGAGGTCTGCTGGGCTCCCTCTCCCCATTTCTGCTCAGGCTACCAGGAGCTATTTGGGGCTGCAATTTCACAGCTGGCTCCATCCTGCTGAGTCCCCACATTCTGGGATCTCAGCCGGGCCAGACGGCCTTCCTCCTCCGGGCTTTTATGGGGGCTTCACTCTGTGGAGGTTTGCAAACGGAGGCTGGGGGGCCATCAGGCAGGGATTCTTGAACTGCAGTTCCTGCATTGCAAGAGGTCAGACTGGATGAGCCCTGAGGGTCCCTTGCGACTCTGCCGTGCTGTGATTCTATGAACTCTTCCCAGGCCCCCTCAACAGGGACACCCCCTTTCTCCTTAAATGGCCTTCCTCTCCCCCCCAGCCTGGGCATGGATGGTTCCCTTCCACAGTCTCTGTTGGGAGGCCAAGCGGCCCCTCTGCAAGCTGAGAGCAAGCAGGGCTGGATCAGGCCCCTTTTCTGTCCCGTCCCTTTTCAGAGCCCTTGCAAGATCTCTTGGCTTTCTGTGTGGTTGAGAGGACATTCTGTGCAGCTGACCTCAGGAAGCGATTTGCCTTGCAAACCTGAGCAGAACGTAAGAGAAGCCCGATGGAACAGGCCAATGTCACAGTGGCCAACCAGATGCCCATTTTGGGAACCCCACTAGCAGGATTCGAACACAGGAGCCCTCTCCCCCTCCTGCAATTCCCAGCAGCTGAGATTCAGAAGCATCCTTGCCTCTGAATATGGAGACAGAGCAGAGCCATCCTGGCTAATAATAATAATAATAAATTTATTATTAATACCCCACCCATCTGGCTGGGTTTCCCAAGCCACTCTGAGCCAATAATATAAAAACATGATAAAAGATCAAACATGAAAAACTTCCCTAAACAGGGCTGCCTTCAGATGCCTTCTAAAAGTCAGATAGTTGTTTGTCTCCTTGAAGTCTGCTGGGAGGGCGTTCCACAGGGCGGGCGCCACCACCAAGAAGGCCCTCTGCCTGGTTCCCTGTAACTTGGCTTCTCACAGCGAGGGCACCGCCAGAAGGCCCTCGGAGCTGGACCTCAGTGTCCAGGCAGAACGATGGGGGTGGAGACGCTCCTTCAGGGATACTGGGATATCCATAGCCCTTGCCTCCTCCATGAATTTGTCCAACCCTCTTTTAAAGCCATTCAAGTTGGTGGCCACCCCAGTCTCCTGTGGGAAGGAGTTCCACTGTCTAACTATGTGCTGTGAGAATAACGCCTTTCGTTTCCCGTTCTACAAGTTCTGGTGTAGGAGAAAGGAAGAAGAGCTTTTCTCCACCCCTCCCTCCAGGTGTCATGTTATAAACTCCCATCGCATCTGCTCCTACTTGCCTCTTCACTTGACTAAAACACCCCAAATTCTGCTTCTCCTGGGCTGGGCAGATGGCGCCAGCAGATGCTTCTCCTGGCGACACCCCGCACTGCGCCCTCGGCACTCGGAGGCTGCTTTTGGCCGGCTCAGGCTGTGTGCTTTGGCCCCGGGCGCTGCTCCTGGGGCGCTTCTCCGAGTCCTCCCTGGCCCCTCGCTGGGAAGGCCTGGCTCCCCGGTGCCAAAAACACTCCGGGCCGTGAAGATTGGCAGCCGGCGCTTGCCTCACTTGGGGTCCTGCCAGGAGACTTTGCTCGCTCCCTCTCCGCCTCGCAGCCTTGAGACGGGGAGATTAGCAGCGGCGAAGGTCTGCTGCCTCCCAGAGCTGGGGTGCCTGGAGGAGGGGGTGCCGGCTGGGTCACGCGCTCCCGGGTCCTTGGGCTCATTCCTCCCTCCCTCTCTCTTCCAGATCGCCTCGCCTGGGTCATGGCAGCCACAAGGAATCTCCGGCAGCGAGGCCAGCGCTTGGCAGGCTGGTGACGAGCCGGCGCCCGGTTTTGGCAAGGCAGGGTGAGTGGCTGGAGCCGGGTTTCAGCGCAGGGGTCCCTCTCGCGATGGCCAAGGGACAGTAGAAGCCCCTCGCCCTCCAAGAGGCTCCGGAGAGACAGCCATGCCGGTGCTGACGTTTGGCGTGGCCGACTACACCATTTTCGTCCTTCTGCTGGTCTTCTCGGCCGGGATCGGACTCTTCTACGCCCTGAGTGGCGGGAAGCAGAGGACCACGCAGGAGTTCCTGCTGGCCAACCGCAGCATGGGCTTCTTCCCCGTGGCGCTCTCCCTCCTGGCCACCTTCCAGTCGGCCGTGGCCATCCTGGGCGTCCCCTCCGAGATCTACCGCTTCGGCACTGAGTACTGGTTCCTGGGGTGCTCCTACTTCCTGGGGCTCCTCATCCCCGCTCACGTCTTCATCCCCGTCTTCTACCGCCTGCGCCTGACCAGCACCTACGAGGTGAGTGGCAGCGGGTGGGGAGTTGAGGGTCTCCTGGGAGATGGGCTGGCCTGGAGATGGGGTCAGAATTGGACCCACGGCCCTCTTCCCTCGGGGTCTCCCGCTGCAGCCGGCACCTAGGCACAAAGTGTGGTGCTCTTTTGGTGTGGTGGCATCTACACTGCGGAACTCCCTGCCTCTTGAAAATCAGGCTTCGTTGCACTCTTTTTGGCACCTGCTAAAAACACTCTCTTTTTTATATATAAATTTATTTATTTGGTTTTTCAGTTTAAAATTCTACAGAGATGTATCGGACATAAAAGCAAGATTCCAAAGAATCCTGGACTTCCCTTCTCCCCTTTGTGGGTCCTATTAATTATCATTTCCTCCTTCATCTTTTATGATAGTCCAAATCTTTCACATCTCCATTGTATTCAGAATTCCCCCTCAAACTACAAGTGATGTTCCAATCCTATTAACCAAATATTCTCACTTAGACAAGCCTGTTCAGGCGTCTGGAAAGTTGGTCTGTTTTTATTTTGTTGTCCTTTTAACTTTTTGAAAGTCTTACACTGTTGCTGGTATTAATTCTTCCTGCTGACACTTTTCTCGCATTGTCTTCTTGGCAAAACCACCTTGGGATCTTTTCCTGAGGGGTGCTGCTGAGTTGAGTCCTGCAAGGAGGCCGGCCGGCTTAGAGCCCCACTGGGAGGCCGGCAGTTGGAGGTCTCTGGCTGATTCTGGGGTCCTCCCCTCCTCCCAAGTGGTGCCTACAGCATGTGGGGGTGGGTGGGGGTCAGGAATGCTGCCCCAGATGCCCCCAGAGAGCAGGGGGGCTGTGCAGGGGTCCCGGGGCACCATCTTGTGGGGCTCCTGCCCTCCCACCGACAGGGCAAAGGCTGCACCAGGAAGCCAAGCCATATTTGCTCTCTGCCCTACTGACACCCCCAATTGTCTTTGCCGCCCCACCCAGTACCTGGAGCTGCGGTTCAACAAGGTCGTGAGGGTGTGTGGAACAGCCACCTTCATCTTCCAGATGGTGAGTGCAGAAAACCACCCTGGTCTCTCTGCCCCGCCAGTTGTGGGGAAAAGGAGGCCTCTTCTTTTTAAGCTTCTGCCTCAAGCTCCCAGTCCTTCTGCCTAAAACTTGCCATGTCTCCCTCCCTCCCTTCTGTCTTTCCTTCCTTCCTTCCTTCCTTCCTTCCTTCCTTCCTTCCTTCCTTCCGTCCTTCCGTCCTTCCGTCCTTCCTGTTGCAGGGATTTATGCATAGGTTGTATAGGTTGTATAGGTTGGGGGGGTTGCCCCTCCAGCAGATATCATGCACTACCAAAATCAGCACAATCACTTTTGTGACTTTTGTGATTTGTCCCCGCAAAACACTTCATCACAGTTTCTTCCTATCTATTCAAAGGGCCTCTGTGTGCAATACCAAATGTAAGAATTCACTGATCAATGCATCTCTGTCCTGGCTCACTGGGAAAACTTCAGAAATTCCTATAGACCTGTGAGCTCAGCTCCTCAGCAGCCCCTCTGCCTGAGGGATAATCCCTGGCCTCCTGATACCTGAGTGCCAGACAGGTAGCCCTTCCAGAAATAACAAACCCAGATGAAGACAAAAGGGTGGGATGAACTTGGCTGGGAAACAGGGAAATATCTCTTTTGTTCCACTTGATGGGTGTTTGGTGGAGGGCAAGGGGAACCATGGGGCAGGGTCCAGGATGCCCAGATTACTGCCACCAGACCTCCCCTTTCGTGATGTAACCATGATGTATGAGTGATGTAGTTTAGGGAGGGGTGTGACATGGGGATGAGCAGCTAATAAAAGTTTGGGGGCTCTTTTGTTGGGGGCTTCCATCTTGTTCCACCTGGTGGCAGGTGGGAGTCCTGTCACGACAGTCTTCAATCAAGACCAAGCCTCCTGGCTGCTGTTTTGCTCTGGGATTCCTGGCTGGGGTCCTTGTTTTTTGTCCAAGGGAGCCCTCAGATTTCTCCGTTAACAGTTCCTTCCTTCCTTCCTTTCTTCTTGCCTTTCTCTCCTTCCGCTTCCTTCTTCCCTCCCCCATGCTGTCTCCCCCGTCCTTCCCTCTCATTCTTCCTGCCTCGGCTGTGGCGCTCAGTGGTTGGCGCAGAGCAGGTCCTTCTTTCTCAGACTCGCCTCCCTCGCAGGGTTGTTGTTGGGCAGGTGGGGGAGGGAGGGAGACCCAGAGACCCTGGGGGGGGGGAATCAAGGTCACGATTCTCCTCTGGAGTCGGCTCCCCCTCCCTCTGGCATGTGGGGTTGTCCGTTGTACGCTGCCTCCCATCCTCTGATCTCGGGGTGCCTCTCAACCCAAAAAGGCCCTGTGGGGTCCAGTTCACAGTGGGGCTGCCTTTCTCCCCACAGGTGGTGTACATGGGGGTCGTCCTCTACACCCCAGCGCTGGCTCTCAATGCAGGTGAGGAAGTGGACCTGATCCTGGGGGGGCAAGGCTTTCCCGCACTGCAGGCAGCTGGAGCATTTTGGGTGGTCTGGGGGCAGGGAAAGTGGGCAGTCTGGACCCAGCCCCCCACTTGGGGGGAAGGGGGGGTCCAATGCTGGGCTGCTGCTCTCGAGGGGCCGGCGCTCGGCCGCTGGGCCCCTCCCTGAGGACTCTTGCTTGCTTGCAGTGACCAACTTTGACCTCTGGGCCTCTGTGCTGACCATTGGGCTGGTCTGCACCCTCTACACCGCCCTGGTGAGTAGGGACCCCGCAAGGGCCAAGGGGGCAGCCTGAGCGCACCAGAGATTCTGGGCTGCAGGAGGTTGTGGGCTCCACAGGGCCCCCAAAGAGGGCAAATTCTTGACCACCGGCCATGAACAGGGTGGCCCCTGATTGGGGGTTGGCTAGACGTCCCTTGGGAGTCCCAGCTCCACAGGTCTATGATTCTGGGGTGGGGCTGGAGGTGCGTGTGGCCCCTGGGCCCCTTCTCCTGTCTGGTGCCCCTGGGAAAGTCCAGATTGGTGGCTTCTGGCCCACCCCTAGTGCCCCTCACCCCATAAAATGCATTGCAGTGTCCAGATGGGCAGTTATAAATTATTATTATTTATACCCTGCCCATCTGGCTGAGTTTCCCCAGCCACTCTGGGGAATATTTATTGCAGTTTGCACTCCCCACTAAGGAAGAGAACGACACGAGGAAATCCAAAGCAGCGACACCCACTGTGGAAACCGTGGGGCAGTGTGATCGCCCTGAATGTTGCCCCCTGTTAACCGCCCCCTCCTTCCCTTTGCAGGGCGGCCTCAAAGCCGTGATCTGGACAGACGTTTTCCAGACCTTTGTCATGTTTGCCGGCCAGGTGGCTGTGATCGTGGTTGGCACCATCAAAGTGGGGGGCATGGGGCGCGTCTGGCAGCTGGCGGCAGAGAAGGGCAAGGTGTCCGGCATCGAGTAAGTCGGGAGGGGCGGAGGGGGGACTGGTCCTTCCCATAGTTGTCAACTTTCCCCTTTTTTTGCGAGGAATCCTATTCGGAATAAGGGAATTTCCCTTAAAAAAGGGAAACTTTGACATTAAGGTCCTTCCGTCTGCTGCCCTGCGGGATGGGCCCAGCAGAACCCCGACTCGGGGCCCTGGAGCCCCTGGCCTTAGAGCCACGGGTGCAGATCCTTCCCTTTACACTACACCTCTGCACAAGGAAAGCCCACGGGGAAAGGATCTGGGGGTCTTGGTGGACCCCAAGCTGAACCCGAGCCCAGAGGGTGATGCAGCAGCAAAAAAGACCAGTGCCGTTCCAGGCTGCATCTGCAGAAGTCGAGGGTCCAGATCAGGGGAAATCAGAGTCCCGCTCAATTCTGGAATATTGTGTCCAGTTCTGGGCACCACAATTTATATTGGATATTGACAAGCTGGGAGGTGGGCAGAGGAGGGAGACCAAGATGATGCAAGGTCTGGAAACAAAACCTTATTAAGAATGGTTGAAGGAGCTGGGTATGTTTAGCCTGGAAAAGAGGAGACTGAGAAGAGCTAGGGTAAAGGTCAAGGGACCCCTGACCATTAGGTCCAGTCGTGGCCGACTCTGGAGTTGCGGTGCTCATCTCGCTTTATTGGCCGAGGGAGCCGGCGTACAGCTTCCGGGTCATGTGGCCAGCATAACTAAGCCGCTTCTGACAAGCCAGAGCAGCGCACGGAAACGCCGTTTACCTTCCCGCCAGAGTGGTACCTATTTATCTACTTGCACTTTGACGTGCTTTCGAACTGCTAGGTTGGCAGGAGCAGGGACCGAGCAACGGGAGCTCACCCCGTCGCGGGGATTCGAACTGCCAACCTTCTGATTGGCAAGTCCTAACCAACACACCTGCTATCCAAGCTATCCCAGCCTGGTTAGCCCCCTAAAAACTCTGATACCCCATTTTTAAAATACAACATACTCCCATAGAGACTCCTTACACTGCGTTTAAAGCCAAAATTGCATTTGGATAGAAACTGTTTCTCAGGCGGCTAGTCCTAGTCTTTATATCCCTGTACCTTCTCAAGGGCTGTCACATGGAAGATGGAGCACGCTTGTTTCCTCCTGCTGTGGAGGGCAGGACTCGAACCTATGGCTTCAAGTTACAAGAAGGGAGATTCTGACTAACATCAGGAATAACTTTCTGGGGGAATGGACTCCGCTTCCTGGGAGGTTTTAAACAGAGGTTGGATGGCCAGCAGTCAGGGATTATTGAGCTGTGATTCCTGCATTGGGGGGGGGTTGGTCTAGATGACCCTTGGGGTTCCCTCCCCCCTCGACCGTTCTCTGCTCCCCTTCCCTCCCCAGCCTGAACCCTGACCCTTACGAGCGCCACACCTTCTGGACCCTGGCCTTTGGGGGCGTCTTCATGATGCTGTCTCTCTACGGGGTCAACCAGTCCCAGGTCCAGCGATACCTCAGCTCTCGCTCGGAGCGGCAGGCCGTGCTGTGAGTGGGGCGCCGTGGGGCGGGGCGGGGTGCTTGGGAGACGTGGGGCTGAGGGGCCCAAGGTGACCCCGTCTGGAAGCAGGAAGGGGGCAGCTGGGAGGAGGCTGGGGGGCAGCCTAAGGATGTCCTGGGGGAGAGAGGGAGCTATGGGGGGCTTCTATCGGGGGGGGGCTGACCTCTTTCCCTGTGGAGCGTCTGCCTGGCCGCTGGGCCAGATTTTCCTCCTTTGGCCAGATCCAGCAGCCTCTTCAGATGCCTTTGTGGAGCCTCCAGCTCCAGTGGCAGTCTATCTGGATTCTATGGGGCTTTTGGGGGAGAACAGGATGCTGGGCCTGATCTGGCGGCCTGATCCTCCCTCCCTCTTCCTGTCCCCCCCCCTCCAGGTCTTGCTACGCCGTCTTCCCCTGCCAGCAGCTGGTCCTCAGCCTCAGTTGCCTCACCGGCCTGGTGATGTTCGCTTACTACCAGGAGCATGAGCTGAGTCCGGAGCAGAGCAGCGCCTCCTCCGATCAGGTGGGTCCGCCGCCGCTTCTGCCGGGAGAAAGACACCCCCCCCAAAAAAAAATCCCGGAGAGGCATTGCGGCTGCTGGTCAGTGCAGGCAATACTGTTACACAAAAAATTGGAGTGGGCTTTTGCTGCCCAGCTCCCCATCCAGGGACCCAGGGACCCCTAAGTGTGTTATCAATCAGAGGAGAATGGGGGGGGGTCTCTGTCCCAGGAGCTGCCCCAGATGATCTTCACAGGCTGGCTTCCGTTGGGGGGGGGGCAACTGCCCTCCCTGAGTTGCCCCCTGATTTGCATCTCCCCCCTCCACTTTGCAAACCTCTACTTCAGTTTATTATTATTATTATTATTATTATTATTATTATTATTATTAATGAAATTTCCCAACAAAATTTACCATAATACTAAAAAAATGAATTATATAATAATAATAATAATAATAATAATAATAATAATAATAATAATAATAATAATTTATACCCCGCCCATCTGGCTGGGTTTCCCCAGCCACTTATACATTTCTAATCCCGCCCTCCTCAGCTTCCCCCAACTTCCCTTTCTGGCTTATCACTTATTCATTTCTTCTGCGTGTGATTTTCTACACCTTATATATTGAAATTGAAATCATACTTTATTGACACATTCTTAATATTTTAGCCTCGTACTTATAATTTCTGTTTATATTTGTCCGTTGTAAATGTATTACTCAAATCCTGCAAGTGAGTTCATTTCAGTATGTTATTTCTGTATATACATCATAAAAGGTTCCCAATCTGTCTTAAAGTCCTTCTTGTCCTTATCTTAAGCTTTTCCATTTCCGCGTGTTCCATCCACTTTTCTTGCCATTGTTCTTTCATCGCTTTTCCACCTTTGAGCTAATAAAACACTGGCCGCTATTGTCACATACATCAATAAATTCTTCTTGTCTTGTGGTCACTCTGGCAGATGGTCCTCTACTTCGTGATGGACGTCTTGCACTCAGTGCCCGGCCTCCCCGGCCTCTTCGTGGCTTGCCTCTTCAGCGGCTCCCTCAGGTGAGCTCAGCAGGCAGCCAGCCCTTCCTTCACTGGGGATCATGAGGACTAGAACCTTTCATTCTTCCCACGGAGGGAGCAGAGCGCAGGGCTTGGCACGCGGGCTCTGCCAGGTTCGGTCCCTGCCGGCAGCATCTCCAGGGAGGGCTGGGGGAAAAGCCCCGGATGGCTGCTGCTGCCGGCCAGTGTCGACAATACTAGGACCCTCGTACCTACAGGACTCTCTCTCCTGGTCTGCCCCGCGGAGGACCTTATGGTCCACAAATAGCAACACTTTTGGTGGCCTCAAGGAGGTTAGCTTGGTCTCAACCAGAGCCAGGGCCTTTTCAGCACTGGCCCCGACATGGTGGAACGCTCTGTCCCAAGAGACTAGGGCCCTGTGGGACTTGACATCTTTCCGCAGGGCCTGCAAGACAGAGCTGTTCCGCCTGGTCTTTGGACTCAGTCTGACCCTTATGTTTCCCTCCCCTTATGGTCTTGATTTATCGGCTACTTTAAAATGAGGCTGCATTTTAAATTGCATTTTAACCTGTATTTTAAATTGATTTTTTTCCCCTTCTCTTTTTCCCCTATTATGTTTTTACTGTGATTTTATTGGTGTTAGCCACCCTGAGCCCGGTTCTGGCCTGGGAGGGCGGGGTATAAATAATTTATATATATATATAAAATTATTACGGAGCCTGTGTTCCTGCTTAGATCTTCCTTTGGAAACATGAGGACTAGAGCCTTGTGCTTATTTCCAGGGAAGTGCATTGCGTCTCCTGGGAGGGCTCTGCCCAAGGGGCTTTTTCTGCCCCCTTCCCTTCGGCTGACCCCCCCCCCCCGCCTCTTCTCTCGGCAGCACCATCTCCTCCGCCTTCAACTCCCTGGCCACCGTGACCATGGAGGACCTGATCCGCCCTTACGTGGCCAGCATCCCCGAAGGACGGGCCACGCTCTACTCCAAGCTGCTGGGTGAGCTGCCCCTGGGGGAGAGGGGTTGGGGGGCAGGCAGCAGCATCCCAGTGCCCCCAGCTCCACGGCTCCAGCCACACGGCCCAGGGGTGCCCCTGCCTCTCCCCTCCCTCTGACTGGACCCCCTTCTCCCCCCAGCTCTGGCCTACGGACTCCTCTGCCTGGGCATGGCTTACGTCTCCTCCATGATGGGTTCGGTGCTGCAGGTAAGGGGTCAGTGGAGGGGGCGGCTGGGGAGGGAGGATACGATACGATACAATATCTTTATTGTCATTGTCCCTTGCGGAACAATGAAGTTGGAAAACTACATAAAACTACATAAAAACTACATAAAACTAACACAAAACTGGGTTTGGTGGCGGTGCACGTTGATTTTTTCAAATAATAATTGGGGGTTGGTCTGGATGACCTTTGGGGGTCCCTCCCAACTCTACGGTTCTCTGATTCTCTCCCCCCTTAGGCTGCCATCAGCATCTTTGGCATGATGGGGGGCCCTCTGCTGGGAGTCTTCTGCCTGGGCATGTTCTTTCCTTGTGCCAATTCCGTGGTGAGTATTGCTGTTTATTTTTGGGGGGGGTGTTAGGAGCTTTTGTTCCCTCACCCCTCTTCCTCTGGGGCCAGGAGCCTTCCCTTCCTCTCCCCACGCTCCAAAGGGGGCGGCCAGCATTGCAACTGGCAGAATAGCTGGTGGGGTTTTTTTTGTGGGGGTGGCTTGGCCTAGCTTGCAATGGGGGGGCCGGGATCCCCTGAACACTCTCTTCCTCGCAATGGGATATTGGCTCTGCCCAAGGCAGGATGGAGAGAGGCAGCGGCTGGGAATACGCAGACATAACATTTTACAAGGACAGGACCAGGGACAGAATAGTCGTCACAAACAAAAGGAATGAGGATATAGTTCGAATGTTCCACCTATGGGTTTATAAATCCTTTAATGTGTCTAGACGAATGGAAGTTGTTAATATTGCAGTTGTCGTATAAGGGATTGTTATTTTGACTGGAATGCAATTGAGATGAACAAGATTTTGGGACTCAGAAACAAAGCAACGTCATCAAACCATGCGGGGGGGGGGGCACCTAAATTATATAATTTGGCATCTGAACGATTGGGATTTGTCATTGTATTATAATTTGGCACTGTTATACTGAGGCTGCCATTGGATTATTGTAATTGAAAACTAATAAAAATTATTGTCAAAAAACCACACCTTCAATTATTATTATTCCCAGGAGATGTCAAGGCAATAAACAACTATTTTACTTTTAAAAGACATCTGAAAGCGGCCCTGTTTAGGGAAGTTTTTAATGTCTGACATTGTATTGTTTTTAATATTCGCTTGGAAGCCGCCCAGAGTGGCTGGGGAGACCCAGCCAGATGGGCGGGGTATAAATAATAAATTATTATTATTAATTATTATTATTATTGCTCTCTTCCTCAGGGGGCCGTCACTGGCTTGGCTGCCGGGCTGGCCATGGCGTTTTGGGTGGGCATCGGGAGCTGGGTGGCCAACCAGGTGTTTGTGCCCCCCGGGACTGGCGTCCCCCAACTGGACGGAAACCTCACAACGGCCGTCATGACGACGCTGCAGACCTTGACAGCGACCCCACAGAGGTAATGGGGAAGGGGGCAGGAGACCCCAGGATGTGTGTGTGTTTAGGTAGAGCTTACTACTATTTATGGCCTTCCTATCCCACCCTTTTCCCCAAGGAGGCATCCATGATTCTCCACGCTCCTCATTTAATCCCCACAACGACCCTGCGAGGTAGACCAGGCAGAGAGAGGCAGGGAAAGAGCCTTGTGGCTGGGGGGGGGGATATGAGCCCATTTAACCCCTGCATCTCCCCTGCCCAGAGAGGAGGCGTCGGGGGTTGGGCTCCGGTTCCCAGGATGCCTTCCCCATGTTTGCTTCACCTGACCGTTGCTGGAAAGAGAGGTTTGGTTGCCCTGAGCGAAGGGGCCGTGGGTCACAAGGGATTCTGGGATGGTACTCTGGGCTCCCTGTGCTGCGGACGGGATCTGAGCCCCCAAAGCCCCCTGTCCAGATCCCAGCGTGGCTTCAGGGAAATTTGTGGTTACAGTGGTACCTCTGGATGCGAACGGGATCCATTCCAGAGCTCCATTCACATCCAGAAGTGAACGCAAACTGCGTCTGCGCATGCGCGGGTCACAACTTGCTGCTTCTGCGCATGCGCGTGACGTCATATTGAGCATCTGTGCATGACCGAGTGGCGAAACCCGGAAGTAACATACTTTGGGGTCGCCGCAGCGCGCAACCTGAAAATCCTTATCCCGAAGCTACTTCAACCCAAAGTATGACTGTATTTTGCTGGGGGTGGGGGAATGCCTCCTCCGTCTGCCCCAGGATTTCCTTTTCCTCTCTTACCTCCAAGCTCTCATCCTGCCATTTCCTTCCAGAACTGTAGAATTGGAAGGGGCCCCTGAGGGTCATCCAGCCCAGCCCCCTGCAATGCACGCTTCAAGCATCCCTGGCAGGCAGCCCCCCCCCCCAGGAAGGAGAGCCCACCGCCTTCCGAGGGAGTTGGTCCCACTGCCCAACGGCTCTTGCGCTTGGAAATTCCTTCTGAGTGTTGAGTAGAATCTCCTTTCTTGCCCCGTGAAGCCATTGGGTCGGATCCTTCCCTTTGGAGCGGCAGAAGACAGGCAGGCTCGTCAAGGGGCGAGGGAGCCTCTGGGGCAAGCCACAGTCACAATATGGGGGGGTGCAGCACTGGCCAACCCTAGAGGGTTGTTGTAAGCACAGCTCTGCTGGGTCTGGACCGGCGGTTGGCTTCCCCAGCGGCCCACTGGGAGACCCCCAAGACCCCCTGCGGCTGGTGGTTGTATAAAAGCCCCCCTCCCGTGCGCTCTGGGGGCATTTCCCCAGTCTCGGCTGCCCCCTTTGTGGAAGCCCCTCGTTCCCCACCCTGAGCCCATCCTTTGGACTGGGGCAGGCGGCTGCATCCAGGAGCCAGCATCTCTTTCTTCCTGTGACAGATTTTATTAAGGTTTGAAAGAAGATTTATGAAGGTTAATTTCCAATATCCAAAGGTTAAAGATACTGATGTAAATAAAGACTCAAAGCAGAAGAAGGGCGGAGGGAGAGAAGAAAAGAAAAAAGGAGAACTTTCTGTGCTTTGTAGAAAATTATTCAAAACACTCCCTTCAAGATAAACACCTTTCTGCCTCTTGCTGCAGAGTCACGGGGCTGCGCAAGTTCTACAACCTGTCGTACCTGTGGTACAGCGCACACAACTCAACCACCGTCATTGTCGTGGGACTGCTGGTCAGTCTCCTCACAGGTAGGCTGGGAGCACGGGTGGCGCTCGATTTCGTAGTCGCCCCAAGATTCGGGGCAGAGGAAATTTGAAAGGACTTCTTCTTGCAGTTTGCAGTTTGTCGTTAACCTGCGGAACTCCCTCCCTCAATGATGGCCGCCAAGTTGGATGCTTTTAAAACAGGATCAGATAAATTCATGGAGGGAAAGAGGGCTGTTGATGTCTCCCAGCCAAAGTCAGAGACAGCAGTGCTTCTGAAGTTGCTGGAAGCCCCAGGAGGGGAGAGTTGCTCTTGTGTTCGAATCCTGCTTGCGGGTTTCCCATAATGGGCACCTGGTTGGCCACTGTGAGAACAGGAGGCTGGGCTGATGGGCCCTTCAGAGGTTCTTGCGACTGGAGGAGCAGAGCTGGCCCAAGTCAGAAGAGGCAAAGGGGGCAGGTCTGGGGTCTGTGTGCGTATTCTGCACCCGGCGAGCCAGGGGGCGAGGCCTCTGCCCCCCCTTGCCATTGCAGACTAGTGGCCTTCAGCAGAAGGGGGGTGGAACCCTTATTTCATTCCTCTTAGAAGCCTCCACCAGCATTTTATGGTAGGGGGTGTTCAATAATAATAATAATTTACTATTTGTACCCCCCGTCCATCTGGCTGGGTTTCCCCAGCTACTCTGGGCAGTTACCAACAAAGAAAAAAATACATTAAAATGTCACACATTAAAAACTTCCCTGAACAGGGCTGCCTTCAGATGTCTTCTAAATGTCAGGTAGTTGTTTTTTGCTTTGACATCTGGTGGCAGGGAGTTCCACAGGTGGGTGCCACCACCGAGAAGGCCCTCTAATAAATGCATAAAATCAAGCCTCCACTAATGAATGTATAAAATCAGCCTGGAGTTGGGGGCATGGAAGGCAGAAGGGTGAGGTGGGGGGGGTGCCGGTGGGCCCTTCCAACCAGCACCCTTTGTGCGCCTTCGCTGTGCCTTGGCATTCTGCCTCGCAGCTGGGCTCATGCCACACTGCGGGTGCCTAGGAGGCTGAGCAGGGCTGCCTCTCCCGGTCCCACCAGGAGGGGGCGTGACGCTGCTGGAGCCCAGTAACGCTGCCTTCTTCCCCCCCCAGGCCCCACGCGGGGGGAGGACGTGGACCCCCGGACCATCTTCCCCGTGTGCCCCGCCTGTTCTGCTGCTTGCCAGTGAGGTACCGAGAGAAGCTGCGCTGCGGGGTCTGCAGCCCCCAAGAGGTGAGGTCTTCTGCGTGCGCCTTGGGGGGGGGGAGCTCTGGGAGGGGGCAGGCTGGGCAAGGCAAAAAAATAGGGGTTGCGAGGAGCTCCGGAAAGACCCCCCCCAACTGAGAAAGGGGCGCTAAAGCAGCAAATGCAATGAAGGGTAAGCGAGGGGGAAGTTTAGCGTACTGGGGAAAGGGGGCAAACGGGGGCTGCAGGCTCCTGTCCTGGGACCGTTGTTGTTCAGCGTCTTTCTAAATGACTTGGGTGGTGCTGTGGGTTAAACCACTGAGCCTCTTGGGCTTGCCGATCAGAAGGTTGGTGGTTCGAATCCCCCGGACGGGTTGAGCTCCCGTTGCTCGGTCCCTGCTCCTGCCAACCTAGCAGTTTGAAAGCATGACAAAGTGCAAGTAGATCAATAGGTACCGCTCTGGCGGGAAGGTAAATGGCGTTTCCATGCGCTGCTCTGGTTCGCCAGAAGCGGCTTAGTCATGCTGGTCACATGACCCAGAAGCTGTACGCCGGCTCCCTCGGCCAATAAAGCGAGATGAGTGCCGCAACCCCAGAGTCAGCCACGACTGGACCTAATGGTCAGGGGTCCCTTTACCTTTTAAATGACTTGGATGAAGGAATCAAGGGGATCCTCGCCCAATTTGCAGATGGGGTAGCTGATGCCACAGAAGTCAGAATCAGAAGTCAGAATCAGAACTGGGCGCAAGCTCACAGAATGAATTTCAATAGTGACAAAGGTTCAGCATTTAGACAGGAAGAACCAGATGCACAAATAGAAGGTTATTATGATGATTAGATTTATATATCGCCCCCCGTGACAAAATCTCAGGGCAGTTCACAAGGTGAGGGACACCTAGCTTGTGAAAAGGATCTGGGGGTCTTGGTGGACCACAAGCTGAACAGGAGTCAACCATGTGATGCAGCAGCAAAAAAGGCTAATGCTATTCTAGGCTGCATCCACAGAAGTCTAGTGTCCAGATCAAGGGAAGGAATAGTCCCACTCGATTCTGCCTTGGTCGGACCCCCACCTAGGATCCCGTGTCCAGATCTGGGCACCACAATTTGAGAAGGATGTTGACAAGCTGGAAGGTGGGCAGAGGAGCGAGACCAAGGTGACCAAGGGTCTGGGAACTAAGCGTTTTGAGGAACAGTTGAAGGAGCTGGGTATGTCTAGCCTGGAAAAGAGGAGACTGAGAAGAGACAGGAGAGCCAACTTCAAATATCTCAAGGGCTGTTGCAAATTTGTTTTCTCCTGCTCTGGAGGGCAGGACTCGAACCCATGGCTTCAAGTGACAAGAAGGGAGATTCTGACTCAACATCAGGAAGAGCTTTCTGACCATAAGAGCTGGGACTCCGTTTCACTGGAGCTTTTGAAGCAGAGGTTGGACGGCCGTCTGTCAGGGATTCTTGAGCTGAGATTCCCATGTTCCAAGGGGCTGGACTAGATGACGCTGGAGGTCCCTTCGAACTTTAAAATTCTGTGGTTCTAAGCAATGCAGATGGTTCTGCTGGTGCAGAAAAACCGCATCCCTGCAGAGCCGGAGTTTGACTTGTGCCCTTTCTCTCTCTCTCTCTCTCTCTCTCTCTCTCTCTCTCTCTCTGCCCAGGACGGAAACTGCCCAGAGCCGGTTCCCCTGGCTGTGGAGAAGACCAGCAATGGGCTGCTGAACGGTCTGCAGGAGGGGCTGCCCCTTGGGGGGGCGATGAGGGAGAGGAGCCCCCCGGGGAGGGGGCAGCTCGGCCAGGCGGGAGCCACAGCTACATCCTGCGGGAGACAGCCCTCTGAGCGGGACGGCGGGAGCGTCTGCGGGGCTTGGCTCTGTTCCGAGAGAGGACCCCCCCCCCAGGGAGAAGGGGGTCCCGGACCCTCCTTGGGGCCGCTCTGCACTGGATCCTGGATGAGCACTGGAGGGGGGTCAGGCCGGACCCCACGCCTGGGTGATGGAGCAGCCCTTTCCGGGGTCCCTCCTGCCATACTGTGAATGTGCCAATCTCTTAAGTGTGGGTGGGGGGCTAGGCCCCCTGTAACTCAAGCACACTGGGCGAGGCAGGAGGGTCTGGGTCCTCCTGCCACCCAAACGCCCTCTGAGCCCTCCAGCCCACCCACCTGAGGCCTCACCAAAGACGCCCCCCTGGACCTTCAGTGGGGTGGGGGGCGACCCTCTCATTCCATTCCCCCCTCCAGCAGCCCTTCCACCAAGTGGGGGGGGAGCACAGACATTCCTCCATCTCAGTGACTCCCTTGACGACAGCCCCCCCCGTCCGCTCGTGGGCCTCGTCATCCCCTCTCCTTTCCTGTCTTCTGTACCCCGTGTTGCACTTCCTCTGAGCGGTTCTGTTTCCTTGCCTTTCTGACGATGCTCAGAGAAGGATTTTGGCTGCTGTTAATAAAAATGGTTCTTGTTGCTGCTGGCTGCTTCGTGGGTGGAAGCTGGGCGCTGGGGGAAGCCGGGTTCAAATCCTGACTCGCTGGGCTGCTCTCGGAAGAGGTCTGGGGCTCTGCTCAAGGGGCGCCGCTGCGTATGTGGGGCCCGTTGTTGTGTCCGCTGGAACTTATTTATTATATTTATAATACGGGACTGCCTCTCCTGGTCTGCCCCAAAGGTCCACAAATGACAACATTTTGGAGGTCCCAGGTCGCAAGGTGGTTAGATTGGTCTCAGCTAGGGCCAGGGCCTTTTCAGTACTGGCCCCCGATGTGGTGAAACGCTCTGTCACAAGAGACCAGGGCCCTGAAGGACTTGACATCTTTCCGCAGGGCCTGCAAGACACAGCTGTTCCGCCTGGCCTTTGGTTTGGACTCGGTCTGACCCTTATGTTTTCCCTCCCCTTATGGTTTTGACTTTTAAAATGAGGCTGCATTTTAAATTGCATTTTAACTTGTATTTTAATTTCCCCCCTTTTTTCCTTATGCTTTTCTGAAATTTTTATTGGTGTTAGCTGCGCTGAGCCTGGCTCTGGCCGGGGAGGGCGAGGTATAAATATGAATACATTTTATTAATATTATTATTACTATTATAACCCACCTTTGCTCCCCAGGAGCTCAAAGTGGAGCCCACTCTTCTTCCCCCCTCCTTCTAATCCCCACAGCAACCCTGTGAGGTCGGCCAGGCTTCGAAAAAGACAGAGAATGGTCAACCAAGGAGCTTCATAGCCAAGTGGTGATTTGAACCCTTTTCTCTCCGGTCCGAGTCCAGCACTCTAACCGCTACTCCATACTGCCCCATGCAAGCCACAGTCAGGGATGCAGGCGGAGGGGGGAACCTGGAAATCACAGGCTGGATAGACCCAGGAAAACAGGAGGAAGTGGCGGCCAACCCCTTGGGAAGAAGACGAGATAAATGTATGGAGGAGGAGAAGGCTCTGGGTGGGAAAGTCGCCAGGGAGCTAGAATCCTCCTTGCCCACCTCAAACAGCCCCCTGGTTGGCCTCGGCGAGAACAGGATCCCTGCCTTGCAGGCGGGTTGGACTAGATGACCGCAGGCTCCCTTCCACTCTGCAATTCTAGGATTCTGTGTCTAGATGGGTCCCCTTGGGCCGGATCCAGCAGCCCGGCCCTTCTGTGCCAGGAGACAATCTGCTGCTCTTTCCCCTGGGTCTGGGGGTCCCTGGCGGGGCTTCCAGCTTCGGGGAACTTGGCTTGGTGGGTCCCTGGTGTCCTTCCCCACAAAAGAGGTCAACAGTGGGGGGAATTGGGGAGGCAGCGCAGAAGCAATGGTGTCTTTGCAGCTCCCTGTGACCCTCTGGCTTTTCCTGCAGCCATGGTTGCCCTCCTTTAACACCTTTGGGGGGTTCCGGCTTCCAAATTTGGTCCATCTCCTGCTTGGCTCGTCACCTTTAGAGTTAAAGGAGGGCAGCCAGAATGAGAAAGAAGCCAAGCCTGATGAGGAGCGGTTGAAGGAGCTGGAGAAGAGGAGACATGAGAGCCACCTTCCAATATCTCATGGGTTGTCCCATGGAAGAGGGAACAAGCTTGTTTTCTCCTGCTGTAGAGGGTAAGACTCGAACCCATGGCTTCAAGTGACAAGAAAGGAGATTCTGACTAAACAGGAAGAAGTTTCTGATGGAAAGAGCTGTTCAACCGTGGAACGGTTTCCCTTGGGAGGTGGGGGGGTTCTTCTTCCTTGGAGGTTTTTAAGCAGACTGAATGGCCATCTGATGTAGTTGAGATTGCCGCATTGCAGGGGGTTGGACTAGATGACCCCTGGGGTCCCTTCAGCTCTATGATTCTTTGAAACTCTAGAACTTCCTCCCCGATGCCCATTTTGGGAAACCCAAAAGCAGGATTGGCACCCCAGAGCCCTCTCCTCTCCTGCCCTTTCCAGCAACTACACAAAACAAATGAAATACCGCGAAAATGCCTGAAACAGGAAGTAATCGACTAGAAATAAAATAATAAAAATCAAAAAGTTTAAGGAAAAATTGTACAAAGCCAAAACGGGATGCCGGCCACAAACCTTGTTAAGGCTTTGTACAATTCTAGGTTTTTCTGATTCTTTCCTTAAACTTTTTGATTTTTATTATTTAGTTTATTTCTAGTCGATTACTTCTCGTTTCAGGGATTTTCACGGTATTTCATTTGTTTTGTGTTATTTCTCCGTTCCGTGACTGTGCCCCCCCCCGCTTTCCAGCAGCTGGCATTCAAGAGCCTTGCTGCCTCCAGTGGCAGTGAGTTCCGTAGGCTAACTGCACGAAGAAGTCCTAGCAGCTCTGGAGGCCTCGCCTCGGTGCCCCACATGCCACCCCTTCCGCCATGCTCCTCTGCCCCATAAGCTGCTCTCCCTGGCTCCTGCGCCGGGCCCTTAAGCCGTGGGGTGGGAGTGGAGGGTGTCCCAGCTGCTGGGCGGCTGAGCCAACTTTTCCTGGGAACGTCCACGCCAATTCACCCCCTGAAAATATCTCTTGTCTGGGAGCAGCTGGACTTTTGCAATGCTTCTGGTGACCCCTCTTTCCACGGACCTTTGAGGGTCCTGCCTGGAGGAGGAGGAGGAAAGCTCGTTAGCTCGCTCGTTAGGGCAGGCTTTGGTCCGGGGCCAGGGTGGATTTATGAGTTCGGCCTTGGCCCCAGCCCCCTTTCCCAGAGAAGAACAGACGAGGCTGCCTTCCCTCTCCCCCCATCGCCCCACAAGCAGCAACTGGAAGTCTGAGCTCCTCTTAGCCCCACAGGCAGCCCCGGCCAAATGTAGGTTTTTCTCCCCCACCCCACGTCTCCCATGGGGTTCTTCCAGAAAAAGAGATGGCCCCAGGCTGCCCAGACCCCCTCCTCAGGGACCCAGGGGATCCACCCCAATCTTCTTGCAGCCGTAGCAATGCACTCTGCACATGCTCAGAGCCACACTGTGCAAAGGATGCAGTTTTGTTAATAGCGGCCACAGATTGAGTGTGTTTCGGGAGCTGGCAAAATTCAGTGCAATAAAAACATGGTGCAACATCAAGATTTAAGCACTAGGTCAGGGGGTCCCCAAGTCGGTGGTGGGGTTGCCTAGGGGGCGCTGAGAGGGAGGGGGAGATGACAGTCAGCTGGTCTCACCAGATCAAATTCAACTGGTTTGAACTGGAATCTGAATAAACTGTGCAAGATCATGACTGGTTTGGATTTGAGGGAATTCTCTTCCTTGTAGGGAGACATGCAAACCGCCATTCTGAATAGGGTTTCCTGTAGGGTGGGGGGCGCTGGGGATGCATGGAGGGAACCTAGGGGGCAGGCCCCCAAAAAAGTTTGGGACCCATTGCGCAAGATGGAAGACTCAAAGAACAGCTGTCCAGAGCTGCGGCAAGTTTCAAAGGCCTGGGGAGATAAAAGGGTTTTGTCTGTGCCAAACCCCCAGAAATTCAGGAAGGTCTTTCTGGGGGAGGGTCTCTGGCAAGGAAAGGCCCGTCCTCTGGGCTCCAGGCCGAGAGGCAGCCCAGCCCCACAGCCTTCTGGTCCCCAACCCTGAAGGGCTTTAGCAGTCAAAACCAGCCCTCTCCATTAGCCCTGGAAACAGACTGGGGGGTAGCATTGCAGGAGGCCATAAGCTCAGCGCCAGGGGTGGACTAGAGGACCTTTGGAGTCCCTTCCACCTCTAGGGTTCCAGCAGGCAGCAAGTCTGAGCACACATTGCAGGAGGGGGAGCCCCACGCAAAGGCAAGCTGCTTATATGGAGCAGTTATAAAAGATGTTTCTGAACAAATTCCTGTGTTGCAGGGGGTTGGACTAGATGACCCCAGGTGTCCCTTCCGACTCGAGGATTCTGCGAAATGCTGGAAGTGGTCTTGGCACCAGGTCGCCTCCCTCTGACCCACCTAAGACCTCCTGCCTTAGATGGTATGGACTCCAGTCCACCCTACAAAACAGCTTTTAAGGGGTCCAGAGGGGTCCTGTAACCCGCTCTGGGAAGAGCGCAGCCTGGGCCTCGACTGTCCCTCCAAATGCAGCCCCAGAGGAGGGTTTGGGGGGCACCCAGGCTTCTCCACGAGGCAGGAAGCACCCCATGGCACCCTCACCCCTGGGAGAATCAGAGAACCGTAAAGTTGGAGGGATCCCCAAAGGTCATCCAGCCCAACCCGCTGCAGTGCAGGAATCTCAGCTAGAGAACTGTCTCTCTTCCGAGGGAGTCCAGTCCACCGTCAGGTCTTGCGTCACGGAGACGGGTCATGGCTGTGCCCCCCGGGCGTCAGGACCCATCTGAGCCCACCCGCCGGGGGCAGGCAAGGGTGCGACTGCTGCTTCTGCGGAAGGGCGGCCTCCAGGCCAGGAGCCCACGTAGAGGGTGCAGCGCAGGGGCCACTTCTGCAAGACAGGAAGGTGAGATGGGGGGTGAGGGGGAGAAGGAGAGAGAGGAGCCCTGCCGCTCTGTCAGGCCCCTCCTGCCTCCGGTCTGGGCCAGCCAATCATAATCATCATAATCAACGTTTC